TGCTAAAAACGGCTTCATTATTTGAAAAGGATTTTAAGAGTATGATTTGTAAACCCCCTAAAAGTCTCTGGTTGATTGAGTGTTCAATTGTCATTTCACTATTGCTTCATAAATAAATTATTCTAAACAGAATTTATCCTGCAGAATAGGCACACTTCATGTCTGTAAGTGTAGCACAGGGAACACATTGTTCTCTCTACTGCTGATATTTATGGTGCAGTCCTCTGCTCTTCGTAGCGCTTCTATCTCCCTCTCTCCTGTATTTTGGAAAATCACAGGTTTCTGCAGCATTCAACGGCAACTGTGTACAGGGTGACTGCGTGGGTGGAAATATGAAAGGCAGAAATCTAAATGTGTCTGACACACCGTCCACTGAGCTGCGTTTGGTGGTTTCCCCAGAGCTCTCTGGTTCAGGAAGCAGGCACCACAAGAGAGATATGGGGCACTAAAAGTATCAACAACAAATATACAAATACAAAATGGAGGTGTGCAGATTTATTGTTTCCAACATGCTAAAATGATGTAACCATCTGAGCACTGTTCCATTTCTATGGTAACATGTTTCCTTTGTCATAAAATTGATATGAATGTTCCATTTAAACCATATGACAATGGTGTTCAACCAACGTCTGCTGCCGAAATGTAACACACTTTTCCTCTACATGGCATCTAATTTGTCACACCTCAGTGCCCCAGTCAATAGCTGCTGCTTCTAGCGGTTGTGACCAGGAGACAGTAACAGCCAACCAAAGTCACCTTGTAGCCTGATTACAGGATAAAGGAGGACCGGCCTCTTCAGTCCCCCTTGTTTCTTACAGTAGAGGAGCTGATGGGTTGAAGGGCACCAACAGTAAAACGTTACGCCACAGTGTGCCCTAACCCAACCCTGCGGTTTTCACAAGTATCCCAGTGCTGGTGCCCTTAACCTCATCAGCTCTTTTTCTGCTGTAAGAGACAAGGGGGACTGAAGAGGCCGGTCCTCCTTTATCCTGTAATCAGGCTACAAGGTGACTTTGGTTGGCTGTAACTGTCTCCTGGTAGTAGTACTGTTTTCTCCCTACTGGACACAACCCTGATGTCCACAATACAATGTACCCTGAACACAACTTTCCCACCCCTCCTATTACCCTCTGACTATTCAGACGGAGAACTGGACAAAACGAATAAGATAGTTCACATTTCCACACTCATGTCAGTCTCTCCATAGGGATCTCTCCATTTCATCGTATTGACATTTATCCTCCTCGCCACTGAGATAAATCACACTGGGTTTGTGTTTATTGATAAGAGTAATCTTTAAATTTCAACCTTTGGAGTTGACACAACGAAGACAGCCAAGGCTTTGGGGGGCTGCAGTCAGCCAGTCTCAATGGCCAGAGCCGGGTTCACCGAGTCTAAAGTATATTCTGACATCTTCCTCCATGTCTGTGCAACTCCAGGACTGAATTGTGCATGTGGGAGAGATGCTTTGTGGCCCAAGGCACAACAGACACAGAAACAAAGCAAACATAACAATCCTCTCCGCTAACAGCCGTCCTATGCAGCCTACATGACAGAAGCCATACTTGGTCAGTTTGTATCTGTATTCTGAAGCCATCTGTTGTATCATTGATTTACCACTACAATGGTTTCAAGGCAGCCAATGAAAATGTCAGTTTATGAATAGCAGAATTGGCAGTTTATGAAAGCCTATTGAAAAGCAGTTATTGTGCATAGGGTAGACCTACAACCAAAATAGTGCAGGTTTGTATGCCAACTAAAAACTGGTAATTGCAATTTTATGGGGTTGCATTTAGCCAGATAATATAACCTATTTGCATGTGTACAGGACTCCAAATGTATTCACTTGATGGGATAAGGATTATGGAGGTATTGAGATAGATGTACAGTGGGGAGAACAAGTATTTGATACACTGCCGATTTTGCAGGTTTTCCTACTTACAAAGCATGTAGAGGTCTGTAATTTGTATCATTGGTACACTTCAACTGTGAGAGACGGAATCTAAAACAAAAATCCAGAAAATCACATTGTATGATTTTTAAGTAATTAATTTGCATTTTATTGCATAACATAAGTATTTGATACATCAGAAAAGTATAACTTAATATTTGGTACAGAAACCTTTGTTTGCAATTACAGAGATCATACGTTTCCTGTAGGTCTTGACCAGGTTTGCACACACTGCAACAGGGATTTTGGCCCACTCCTCCATACAGACCTTCTCCAGATCCTTCAGGTTTCGGGACTTTCAGCTCCCTCCATAGATTTTCTATTGGGTTCAGGTCTGGAGACTGGCTAGGCCACTCCAGGACCTTGAGATGCTTCTTACGGAGCCACTCCTTAGTTGCCCTGGCTGTGTGTTTCGGGTCGTTGTCATGCTGGAAGACCCAGCCACGACCCATCTTCAATGCTCTTACTGAGGGAAGGAGGTTGTTGGCCAAGATCTCGCGATACATGGCCCCATCCATCCTCCCCTCAATACGGTGCAGTCGTCCTGTCCCCTTTGCAGAAAAGCATCCCCAAAGAACGTTTCCACCTCCATGCTTCACGGTTGGGATGGTGTTCTTGGGGTTGTACTCATCCTTCTTCTTCCTCCAAACACAGCAAGTGGAGTTTAGACCAAAAAGCTCTATTTTTATCTCATCAGACCACATGACCTTCTCCCATTCCTCCTCTGGATCATCCAGATGGTCATTGGCAAACTTCAGATGGGCCTGGACATGCGCTGGCTTGAGCAGGGGGACCTTGCGTGCGCTGCATGATTTTAATCCATGACGGCATAGTGTGATACTAATGGTTCTTTGAGACTGTGGTCCCAGCTCTCTTCAGGTCATTGACCAGGTCCTGCCGTGTAGTTCTGGGCTGATCCCTCACCTTCCTCATGATCATTGATGCCCCACGAGGTGAGATCTTGCATGGAGCCCCAGACCGAGGGTGATTGACCGTCATCTTGAACTTCTTCCATTTTCTAATAATTGCGTCAACAGTTGTTGCCTTCTCACCAAGCTGCTTGCCTATTGTCCTGTAGCCCATCCCAGCCTTGTGCAGGTCTACAATGTTATCCCTGATGTCCTTACACAGCTCTGGTCTTGGCCATTGTGGAGAGGTTGGAGTCTGTTTGAGTGTGTGGACAGGTGTCTTTTATACAGGTAACGAGTTCAAACAGGTGCAGTTAATACAGGTAATGAGTGGAGAACAGGAGGGTTTCTTAGAGAAAAACGAACAGGTCTGCGAGAGCCGGAATTCTTACTGGTTGGTAGGTGATCAAATACTTGTCATGCAATAAAATTCAAATGAATTACTTAAATCATACAGTGGTTTTTTGGATTGTTTTAGATTCCGTCTCTCACAGTTAAAGTGTACCTATGATAAAAATTACAGACCTCTACTACATGCTTTGTAAGTAGGAAAACCTGCAAAATCGGCAGTGTATCAAATACTTGTTCTCCCCACTGTATATACATCTATCATGAACACAATATTGGGGGGCTATAGGAGCAACAATCATTTATTGAGGAGTTTGATCTGTGTTCCTCACTTATGAGAGGAGGCAGGGGGCTCAGGTGTGGTGGCTGCATCCATGGCAATCAAACTTCACAAGTCAGTGTTTTCCTGAGTTAACGAGCTTCAAAACGTAACAGAAGTGCTGTCTAAAAAAAACATTGCAACCGTATTGACCATGTAAATAAATGGAGACCACAAAAATATGAATTAAATAACATTTACTTGCTCCAAAACATCACAAGACATGGCGGTACAGATGACAGACAACAGGTATGAGGAAAAACAACGAAAGCAATCTGAATACATATACAGCAGCACCTCTTGGTCTATACAGAACATGGGGCAATCTACCAGACAGGTGGCTGCACTTGGGAATAGTCACTAAAAAACATACACAAAAAATATTGAGCAGCAAGTTTCAATCTTAATACAACAGACCAGAGGCCAAAGATATGATTGAGAAAATAGTTTAGGACTCAGAGGAAATGATCACGCTTTAAAGTATGTACACAGCAAATAAAACAAAACAAAAACGGGGGTAAATGTAGTCAAAAAGCCCAGAGGGGAGGATGAGATGACAGGGAAAATGACTATTAAGGCTCAAGTGTAATTGCAGTTCCCATCAGAAGTCAAGAGGTAATTGTTATCACAATCAAAATATCAACCAGATTATTCTTCAGACTCAGAACTCGCTCATCACTGACCAATCATAAACTTAATTTCCATGCAAACCGTCCGAGGCAGACCGAGAAACACCTGTTGTTAAGAGTCACTGGACACTCCAGCATAGTAACACTTCAGATAGAACTTAACAGTGAGCACAGGCATAGCCTGTCATCCAGACTGGCTTCTCCTGGACTGGAAAACTGTATGGTAATTCTAAAACCTGTTTCATTTTGTCAACAGTCAGTGTGTGAAACTGCCAAGGTTGATATCATTTCAGTTTAGCCCCCCTGAGGATAAACAGCCCCCCCTGCTGGTCTACAGGGGAGGGACAGCCACAAGGGAGCCAGCCTAGCCATGGATCATTAATAAATGATTGTACAGTTAATTAAATGTTTAGGCTCTGGGTGGACAGAGGCCACAGGTGTCCCTGATAGCTATTATAATATGCAGATAATAAAAGTCTGGAAAAGGCACAGCAACCATCCCCTCTCCACCGAATGAACAAGAGCAATCAGGTGCGGTGGTGGTTGAAATGGAAATACTAACTCCGCAGACAACGAGCTCACGTCAAACACAGAATATACAAAATTCTGCACAGAGAACAGATTGGAAAAAAAACAAAAACAGGTGAGAACAGAGCAGAAATTCAACAAACCTGGAGAATTGTGACCCACCCGTGCCCCCAAGTCCAACACTAAACATTCAGTGTAGAGAATGGGCTCCCTAAACAAGATGGAGGGGTGGAAGCGTATAGGGTTGAAAACAGCATATTCCAGACTAGTTTTTCAGTAAGGTGACAATTTTTCCAAAGGACAAAAGACAGACAAAGACAGTACTGCTACACAGAGTACTACTACACAGAGTACTACATGAATCCAAGTAAAGAATGCCTGAATCCTGTCCAGACAGTCAGTATTACACCAGTACATAACCCCTGTGGGAGGAAGGAGTGGGAAAAACACCATCCTGTCAAACAAACTAATGAACTATATACGAAAATATCGGGAGGAAAAACTTTTAAAAATAGAAACCAGTTGACACAATCACAACAGGAAGAAAAAAACCTAAATGCAAAAAAATAATATATATTATTATTTTTAAAAAATGAAAGTGTTCAACCAATGAAGGGAATACGCAGCGAAAAAAAGAAGACCTGTAATTAGATTTTACAATTTTCTTATAGTACAAGATAACTCCCAGTTTTTAAACAAAAGGATTTCCTGATGGGGGGAAAAAGAAGACAATAAAAATCAAAAAAGGTTAAAACTTAATTTACAAACACACTGAAATCATATATTTACCAAAAAAACACATCAAAACTCCCATACACTGGCACGCATTGTTATGTCCTGATTAGCGACAGGCTGCCCCCCCAGCGCTCTCTTGGGGTCGCTGGCAGGAACACAAGTGAGAGACCACAGGACCGCCAAGCCCAAACCTAAATGCTGATTGGAGGAGTTCCGGGGGAAAATGGAGCCCTGAGCCACATCCTGGCTGTTAATTGGCAACTCATACAGGACGCTTTGATTGGTTTACATTAGAAGATACGCTTGCGTTTCAGGTAGGAGTCAGCATAGTGGCCCCCCAGGCCCTGGGAGTGTTGTCCCACGTAGCCCCCTTCTGGGCTGGGCTCTGGCGACGGGATCAGACGGTTGAACAGACGCTTGTGACCACCAATGGGAGACTGGAGGGGGCAGAAACATCATACAATCACTGTCAATGCAATGCCATTGTCAAAAATGGGGACAGAACAGGAAATGGCAGACAAACAGACAATGACTAAGAGATGCACTAACCTTCATCCCCAGACCAGATGGGTATGTGTTAGAGTGGCTCACAGGAGGCATGCCCACAGCCTGAACAGTGATCAACCCAAAACAGAACCACAAAGCATTAGTCTCATCTAAAAAGGCACAATATGTACATTTTATTTCCAGTAAAGACAGGAGGCTTGGGTCTTTGGGAGTGCAAAACTAAAGAAGAACAAACAGGCATAGTAAAGCCTGATTTATACCTTAAACTTTAGTGCAGGCCGCTCAAACAAAATGATGCAATATCGAACATTCGCTCCCATACGCATATGCCTTCACAGGGTTCAACTATGAAATCTCTGCAGGACACATCGCCACCATTTTATTTGTCATTGTTCTGCCAGCATGGCTACTGTGGTTATGCTAAAATGCGCAGCTATAAGCATATCGGAAAATGTGTTGTCCGCTTCCGTTCGAGTGGACCAAGGACACGCAGATTTAGAAGCCAATAATTTCGCTTAACATTTTCAGTTTCAGCCCAACTGTGTTTCATAATACATTGTCCCCAACATGATGGGTGCTAGGCTAGCCAACAGATGTCAATACATCCATCTTCTACATGCTGAGAAGTCATCTCCACTAAGTATAAATAACAGAGGTCAGCCTTTCTTCTTTGATCAGACACATTAAGCAACACTCATATCCTTCCTGCTCAGCTCTGCCAATCAATACATCAGAAATAAACACCCAAGGTGACAATGTACTGTAGCGTCGGCTAATGCAGAACTGCGGCGGTACTTTCTGCTGGCAGCTTCAGCACACAGGCAATTCAATATGTTTATTACATTGGGAAGAAGCAGAGAGTGCATGTCTTAGCAGCAGTGGGGGCGGGAGTCAGTGTGGGCCTACCTTGTTGAGATGGCTGGAGGGGAAGCTGCCGGGGAGGCTGCCGGGGCCAGGTGCCACCAAGCTGTAGTAGGAAGACGAGGGCGGGCTGGGGGGGGTAACTGTAGTGGGAGGAGGCCTGCTCACTATAGCCGGGGTGGCCAAACAGCTACAGAGACGTTCATTATGTTATTCTATGCTGCATGTACAGTTAAAGTTGGAAGTTTACATACACTTAGGTTGGCGTTAGTAAAACTCATTTTTCAAACACTCCACAAATGTCTTGTTAACAAACTATAGTTTTGGCAAGTCGGTTAGGACATCTACTTTGTGCATGACAAGTAATTTTTCCAACTATTGTTTACAGACAGATTATTTCACTTATAATTCAATGTATCACAATTCCAGTGGGTCAGAAGTTTACATACACTAAGTTGACTGTGCCTTTAAACAGCTTGGAAAATTCCAGAAAATGATGTCATGGCTTTAGAAGCTTCTGATAGGCTAATTGACATCATTTGAGTCAATTGGAGGTGTACCTGTGGATGTATTTCAAGGCCTACCTTCAAACGCAGTGCCTCTTTGCTTGACATCATGGGAAAATCAAAAGAAATCAGCCAAGACCTCAGAAAAAAAAATGGTAGACCTCCACAAGTCTGGTTCATCCTTTGGAGCAATTTGCAAATGCCTGAAGGAACCACATTCATCTGTACAAACAATAGTACACAAGTATAAACACCATGGGACCACGTAGCCGTCATACCGCTCAGGAAGGAGACACGTTCTGTCTCCTGGAGATGAATGTACTTTGGTGCGGAAAGTGCAAATCAATCCCAGAACAGCAAAGGACCTTGTGAAGATGCTGGAGGAAAAGTATCTATATCCACAGTAAAACAAGTCCTTTATCGACATAACCTGAAAGGCCACTCAGCAAGGAAGAAGCCACTGCTCCAAAACAGCCATAAAAAAGCCAGACTACGGTTTGCAACTGCAAATGGGGACAAATATCGTACTTTTTGGAGAAATATCCTCTGGTCTGATGAAACAAAAATAGAACTCTTTGGCCATAATGACCATCGTTATGTTTGGAGGAAAGAGGGGGGGGGGGGGAGCTTGCAAGCCGAAGAACACCATCCCAACCGTGAAGCACGGAGGTGGCAGCATCATGCTGTGGGGGTGCTTTGCTGCAGGAGGGACTGGTGCACTTCACAAAATAGATGGCATCATGAGGAAGGAAAATTATGTGGATATATTGAAGCAACATCAAGACATCAGTCAGGAAGTTAAAGCTTGGTCGTAAATGGGTCTTCCAAATGGACAATGACCCCAAGCAAACTTCCAAAGTTGTGGCAAAATGGCTTAAGGACAACTAAGTCAAGGTATTGGAGTGGCCATCACAAAGCCCTGACCTCAATCCTATAGAACATTTGTGGGCAGATCTGAAAAAGCATGTGCGAGCAAGGAGGCCTACAAACCTGACTCAGTTACACCAGCTCTGTCAGGAGGAATGGGTCAAAATTCACCCATCTTATTGTGGGAAGCTTGTGGAAGGCTACCCGAAACATTTGACCCAAGTGAAACAATTTAAAGGCAATGCTACCAAATACTAATGGAGTGTATGCAAACTTCTAACCCACTGGGAATGTGATGAAAGAAATAAAAGCTGAAATAAATCATTCTCTACTATTATTCTGACATTTCACATTCTTAAAATAAAGTGGTGATCCTAACTGACTTAAGACAGGGAATTTGTACTAGGATTAAATGTCAGGAATTGTGAAAAACTGAGTTTAAATGTATTTGGCAAAGGTGTACGTAAACTTCCGACATCAACTGTATGTATATAAAAAAAAGACTACAAAAGGGGAGTGGAGATTGAAAAGGCAAGAGATGCCACAGTTTGAAGGCTGGATGTGAAGAGGAGATGGTATAGTGTCTCTTACCTGCTGTCCGAACCCTGCCAGAGATCCAGTGTCCAGAGCCTCCTGCTGTTCATATAGATGGGCCAGAGGATCCTGGGGAGAGAGGAGCCAAACGCCATTAAACCTGCTGCTCATGTAACTAAGTTAAGATCGTACCATACGTTTACTCCACAGCTTCAAAAAGTCTGCACAAATTCAAGCTTTTTGGTGCCGCATCTGGCTAGTACGTTGTTAAGCGGGCAGTCACGTGTTTGAGAGGCAGAGGACCCTAGGTTCAAGCCATTGTGAGGACCGTGTAGCCAGACAGGGAGGAAGTGGTGTGATAAGCAGGCCCACTGTGTTCCATCACACCTGCATGACACACTAGAAAAGTCCATGTACTGACCACTGGGCAACCACGGAGTTAGAAAACCCACCTGTGGCCACAATGACCTTAACCAAGGCAGCAGTGTCCTCTGATATCAATGAAACATCAATGACCAGGCATTCTATCACAACACCATCCAGATTAACCTGGCCAAGCAGTAGGGCTGGACAGTAAAGGTTAGAGGATAAGGGGGACCTACCTGGTGTATTGGGGGGTAGTCTGGGGTGTAGGACTCCTGGTAGCGCAGGCTGTAGTTAGAGTGGATGCTCTGTGTGCGCTGGTTGGATGAGTTGCCTAGCGCTGGCCTCTTCCTGTAAGGGTGGGGTCTGCAGTTGGCGCCTGAGTGAAGGACGGCAGGAATTGAAAAGGTCAAACAAACCCTATGGGTCAGTACTGGGAAGGAATCAGAAAGCAGAGCCAGACTCCACAGGCTGCAGACAGTAGGAGGGGCGGCTCACCTGAGGATGGGAACAGGCTGTGGACATTGAAGAAAGGGTTCTGGGGAAGATTCACATCTTTGGGAGGGTGTCCTAGTATGGACACCTATGGGAGATAACATCAAGTACCCTGATTAAATGTCATGTAAAGAGGCGCTAGTCGATGACTTGAGCATCCCTGCTGTTAGGGACAACATTAGAAAAGTATACGAAGCATTTTAAAGCATCGTCATACCCCAGGTGCTGTAAGCCCCTCTGCCCCCATCACTCCACCCAGGTGGGACATGGACATGCCCTGGAGGGTGGGGGAGGGGTTCTGGGAGAAGCTGGTGGGAGACTCTCTGCCCAGGGGGCGACCCATAGAGTGGGGGTTAATGGGGCCCATAGTGTCTGACTGGAGGCCCAGGGATGGAACCACACCGCCTGGGGACAGGAAACAAACACCTTATTAATATAAGAAACACCTCATCAAGACACTGTAGAGGGCCCTGAGATTTCACTGAAAATCAATCAAGGCAATATCAATACAACACTAGTGACAAACACAGTAAATAACCTAAATGTAATACGTACTGCCCAAATTCACATGTGTAAAGAAGCTGTAATGTAAACATCACTAACAGACCAGCAGGACTAGAATAGCATTCACATGCTCAGCATCAAAATAGAGCATTGCTGTATGTACAGTTGAAGTCGGAAGTTTACACACACTTAGGTTGGAGTCATTGATGGACACGATGGGGTGAGGTTGTGTTTCTCTAAGCGGGAGGTTTGAATGCACCAATTTCTAAGTCGCTCTGGATAAGAGCGTCTGCTAAATGATGTAAATGTAAATTTAAGCTTAGCTTCTTTATATGGTGTCGAGTAAAGCTTAAACCATGTATTTAGATTGTAGGTAGGTATTGTAGGTAGTTATTGTATTCGGTGAAGCACGAGGCTAGCTAACCCACTACCTGGACCAATAAAGCTAGCTAGCTAGCGGGTAGCTACTGGTAAATATTAGCAACTGTGGATAGTGGTTTCCAATGTCACTTTCACGCTTAAGAGTACCTGTAATTATGCCAGCTAGCTACCTACCATTCAGCTGTTTTTCTAACCTCATTATCTGAAGCGTTAATGTTAGGTAGTTAGTAGCTACTGTACTCGAAATGTAGCTAGCTTGTTGCTACCTGGATAGCTAACTAAACAATAGCTGGAACGACCTAGCTGTAATGTTTGGAGACGCTTTCTCTCCGTTGGGACAGACGCGAACTGGCTAAATCGATTCAGTGGCTAGCTTTACACGCAACTACCTAACAGTAGCTACTAAGGGTAAGTTATAACCTACATTTATTTTTACATACTGGTAACCAGAGTCGTTCAAAAGGAATTCAAGACATGGGTGACTAGTTAACGTTAGCTTGGCTCTGTGTGTTTCATACCGTGGGAGGAGGGGTTGGTTTGTTGACAGAGAGCAATGGCTAGCTAATATGCTAACTATTCTAGCTAGCTAACTAACTGGCTGATTAAGTTGACGACGTACTCTCTCAAACTGTCAAAACTTTGCACAACGTTAGACACGGACACAAATTATCTGTTTAGCATGTTAACACACTATTGGTAGTTTGTTGTAACCGAGTATTGGTGCTAAACCGTGTTATTGGAAGCTAGCACGCTAGTTAGCTATTGCGTCATAGGATACGGTGCCCTGGGCGGTTTTCACGGAAGAATACTGTACCAAGTTAGTTAGCTGAATAAACTAAGTTAGAGTCTATTCCTAGAAAACATTGAACCGCTGTAGTTCACAACAATTATAATTTCTAAAGTGGAAGTTGGGAGAGTTATATTTGAGTGTTTCAGTGAAACGTAAGTGAGGGAGGCCCCGCTCTCTCGCTTTCCCAGATGTTTAGTTCATTTCATTCCTATCTCCTTTGCATTATTGTAGCCTTCTCTGTAGCCGGTCAACTATGTGTCTGTCTATCCCTGTTCTCTCCTCTCTGCACAGGCCATACAAACGCTTCACACCGCGTGGCTGCTGCCACAAATCTGGTGGTCCCTGCGCGCATGACCCACATGGAGTTCCAGGTCTCCGGCAGCCTCTGGAACTGCCGTTCTGCGGCCAACAAGGCAGAGTTCATCTCAGCCTATGCTACCCTCCAGTCCCTCGACTTCTTGGCGCTGACGGAAACATGGATTACCACAGAAAACACTGCTACTCCTACTGCTCTTTCCTCGTCTGATCATGTGTTCTCGTATACCCCGAGAGCATCTGGTCAGCGCAGTGGTGGCGCAGGAATCCTCATCTTTCCCAAGTGGACATTCTCTCTTTTTCCCCTGACCCATCTGTCTATCTCCTCATTTGAATTCCATGCTGTCACAGTCACTAGCCCATTCAAGCTTAACATCCTTGTCATTTAAAATCGCCCTCCAGGTTCCCTTGGAGAGTTCATCAATGAGCTTGACGCCTTGATAAGTTCCTTTCCTGAGGATGGCTCACCCCTCACAGTTCTGACTCATTTCTCTGCCTCCTTTCCTCTTTTGACCTCACCCTCCCCCCCTACTCACAAGGCAGGCAATACGGTTGACCTCATATTTACTAGATGCTGTTCTTCTACTAATCTCACTGCAACTCCCCTCCAAGTCTCCGACCACTACTTTGTATCCTTTTCTCTCTCGCTCTCCTCCAACACTACTCACTCTGCCCCTACGCCGATGGTAATGTGCCGTCGCAACCTTCGCTCTCTCTCCCGCTACTCTCTCCTCTTCCATCCTATCATCTCTTCCCTCTGCTAAATCATTATCCCTCCTCTCCTCCCTTTCTGCATCTTTTTTCTCCATGTCCCCTATCCTCCCGGCTGGCTCGGTCCTCCCCTCCTGCTCCGTGGCTTGACGACTCATTGCGAGCTCACAGAAGAGGGCTCCGGGCAGCCGAGCGGAAATGGAGGAAAACTAGACTCCCTGCGGACCTGTCATCTTCTCACTCCCTCCTCTCTACATTATTTTCCTCTGTTTCCGCTGCTAAAGCCACTTTCTACCACTCTAAATTCCAAGCCTCTGCCTCTAACCCTAGGAAGCTCTTTGCCGCCACCTCCCTGCTGAATCCTCCTCCTCCTCCCTGTCTCCGCACCACGTGCTCTCACCACTAGTGTCCCCCAGGGCTCAGTCCTAGGCCCTCTCCTATTCTCTCTATACACCAAGTCACTTGGCTCTGTCATATCCTCACATGGTCTCTCCTATCATTGCTACGCAGACACACAATTAATTTTCTCCTTTCCCCCTTCTGATAACCAGGTGGCGAATCGCATCTCTGCATGTCTGGCAGACATATCAGTGTGGATGTCGGATCACCACCTCAAGCTGAACCTCAGCAAGACAGAGCTGCTCTTCCTCCCTGGGAAGGACTGCCCGCTCCATGATCTCACCATCACGGTTGACAACTCCATTGTGTCCTCCTTCCAGAGTGCAAAGAACCTTGGCGTGACCCTGGACAACACCCTGTCGTTCTCCGCTAACATCAAAGCGGTGACCCGATCCTGCAGGTTCAAACTCTACCACATTCGCAGTGTACGACCCTACCTCACTCAGAAAGCGGCACAGGTCCTAATCCAGGCACTTGTCATCTGTCTGGATTACTGCAACTCGCTGTTGGCTGGGCTCCCTGCCTGTGCCATCAAACCCCTACAACATATCCAGAACGCTGCAGCCCGTCTGGTGTTCAACCTTCCCAAGTTCTCTCATGTCACCCCGCTCCTCCGCAAACTCCACTGGCTTCCAGTTGAGGCTTGTATCTACTATAAGACCATGGTACTTGCCTACGGAGCTGTGAGGGGAACGGCACCTCCTTACCTTCAGGCTCTGATCAGACCCTACACCCAAACGAGGGCACTACGTTCATCCACCTTTGGCCAGCTAGCCCCCCTACCTCTACGGAAGCACAGTTCCCGCTCAGCCCAGTCAAAGCTATTCGCTGCTCTGGCACCCCAATGGTGGAACAAGCTCCCCCACAACAGCGGAATCACTGACCACCTTCCGGAGACACTTGAAACCCTACCTCTTTAAGGAATACCTGGAATAGTATAAAAGTAATCCTTCTACCCCTCCTTCCCCCACCCAATAAAAAATAAATAAAAAAGTAGTTGTCCCACTGGCTATCATAAATTGAATGCACCAATTTGTAAGTCGCTCTGGATAAGAGCGTCTGCTAAATGATGTAAATGTAAAATTAAAACTACACACATTTCTTGTTCACAAACTATTGTTTTGGCAAGTCTTTGTGCATGACACAAGTAATTTTTCCAACTATTGTTTACAGACAGATTATTTCACATATAATTCAATGTATCACAATTCCAGTGGGTCAGAAGTTTACATACACTAAGTTGACTGTGCCTTTAAACAGCTTGGAAAATTCCAGAAAAAGATGTCATGGCTTTAGAAGCTTCTGATAGGCTAATTGACATCATTCGAGTCAATTGGAGGTGTACCTGTGCATGTATTTAAAGGCCTACCTTCAAACTCAGTGTCTCTTTGCTTGACATCATGGGAAAAATCAAAAGAAAATCAGCCAAGACATCAGAAAAAATTTTGTAGACCTCCAACAGTACAAACAATAGTACGCAAGTATAAACACCATGGGACCACGCAGCCGTCATACCGCTCAGGAAGGAGACGCGTTCTGTCTCCTAGAGATTAACGTACTTTGGTGCAAAAAGTGCAAATCAATCCCAGAACAACAGCAAAGGACCTTGTGAAGATGCTGGAGGAAACAGGTACAAAAGTATCTATATCCACAGTAAAATGAGTCCAATATCGACATAACCTGAAAGGCCGCTCAGCAAAGAAGAAGCCACTGCTCCAAAACAGCCATAAAAAAGCCAGACTACGGTTTGCAACTGCACATGGGGACAAAGATCGTACTTTTTGGAAAAATGTAATCTGGTCTGATGAAACAAAAATAGAACTGTTTTGCCATAATTACCATCATTATGTTTGGAGGAAAAAGGGTGTCACTTGCAAGCCGAAGAACACCATCCCAACCGTGAAGCACAGGGGTGGTAGCATCATGCTATGGGGGTGCTTTGCTGCATGAGGGACTGGTGCACTTCACAAAATAGATGGCATCATGAGGAAGGAAAATTATGTGGATATATTGAAGCAACATCTCAAGACATCATTCAGGAAGTTAAAGCTTGGTCGCAAATGGGTCTTCCAAATGGACAATGACCCCAAGCATACTTCCAAAGTTGTGGCAAAATGGCTTAAGGACAACAAAGTCAAGGTATTGGAGTGGCCATCACAAAGCCCTGACCTCAATCCTATAGAACATTTGTGGGCAGATCTGAAAAAGCGTGAGCGAGCAAGGAGGCCTACAAACCTGACTCAGTTACACCAGCTCTGTCAGGAGGAATGGGCCAAAATTTACCCATCTTATTGTGGGAAGCTTGTGGAAGGCTACCCGAAACATTTGACCCAAGCTAAACAATTTAAAGGCAATGCTACCAAATACTAATGAGTGTATGCAAACTTCTGACCCACTGGGAATGTGATGAAAGAAATAAAAAGCTGAAATAAATAATTCTCTACTATTATTCTGACATTTCACATTCTTAAAATAAAGTGGTGATCGTAACTGACCTAAGACAGGGAATTTTGACTAGGATTAAATGTCAGGAATTGTGAAAAACTGAGTTTAAATGTATTTGGCTAAGGTATATGTAAACTTCCGACTTCAACTGTATCTGATAAATAAGCCAAACTAGAGAAATGGCTACTAGTGAGTTGTATTGGTAATACAAATAGACTTTAGTCATGCCAATACAGCATTCTGAATTGAGATGAATGGAAGGCCAAACCTTGAGGCAGGTCTCCCAGCAGATGGACACCCTGCTGGAGAGGCAGAGCAGCCAGAAGGTTGTCCCCCATCAGTCCTGCCTGTTGGAGGAGAGGACATGAGGTTAGACACAGCTGGGTGGGTTACACACAATGCCTCAGCGACCCACAAAACACAAAAATAGACATTCTACATACAAGATATTTACTGAACCTAATATGTACCCAAGTCACATTCCCAAATTATGTCAGTCACCAGAATTCACACTAAGACATTTCAAAACCAAACCAGCAGCACATCACTATTACTAGAAAAGCACCACTCAAAAAGAAGGCAACAGAAAGAAAAACACTTCCCCAAAGGAGAGCACATACCAGCTCTGGTTTAGGGAGCAGTCACTTCACAACAAACCTATATCTACCACACACACACGCAGTGATCACTCACACAGGGAAGTAGTCCATTCTCTTTATTGTGCAGAACCTGAGCCCAGAGAAGATGATTCCCCAAAAAGGCTTGCTGATAGTAGAGGAGGAGAGAGAATAAAGTAGCAGAAGTGTGGATGGGAGAGACTAATGAACCAACATAAGAGGGGAGGGAAGCTGGAGGAGAGAGAGCTGTGGTTACTACTGTACCTGTTGGACTTGGGCCTGGTTCTGGAGGAGGAGCTGGAGCAGAGCAGCGGAGAGGGCAGGGTTAGCCAGCAGCGGCATGGTGGGAGCAGCACCAAGGAGACCTGAAGAGAGACCATTTGACCTTAGGACCATGCATTTAAGGTGCAATATGCAACCTTGTTGCTAAAATTCAAATAGTTCGCCTAACTTCAGTTTGTGACAAAACAAGCAGTGTAGAGAATTATTGTGGCATCTAAACCACTGTGAAATATATTTTCAATAACAAAAAATATTGTATTTTCAGCTATTTGAAGCTAGTGTACAAAACCGAAAGTAAAAGACAAAAAAATAATGGGAAGCATAGAAATGGTACACATAGAAAATATATCCCACTTCTTAAAACTTGCTTTTAATGAGAATGACAATTGTATAACTCACATTTCTATGTGAATTTGGTCAGGTCTCCAAAAAAGTTAAATATAGTAGCTTTAAAGCATGTGTCAAACTCATTCCACAGAGTGTCTGCATGTTTTCACTCCTCCTTTGTACTTGATTGATGAATTAAAGTCACTAATTAGTAAGGAACTCCCCTCACCTGGTTGCCTAAGTCTTAATTGAAAGGAAAAACCAAAAACCAGCAGACACTAGGCCCGCCATGAATGAGTGACACCCCTGCTTTAAAGCATTAAAACCAGGGTAAGAGACTCGTACCATACATTTTCTTCCTTTAGGAAATGCCGTGATCTTACTCACCTTGTTTCCTGCCCTGGGTGAGGGGGTTGAGCAGCATCTTGAGGGTGGCAGGGTTACTGAGGCCTGTGAGGATCTGCATGGCTGTGGGCTCAGGGAGGAGACCTTTCCCTCGGTTCAGGGCCTGTGGAGGGGGAAGGGGAGGAGAGCCAATCAGGGACAGATGTTTTGCTAAAGTAACATAAGGGAGTAATAGTTCTAACATATGGTCTGGTAAGGTAACCAAGAAGTCTTTACCATGGTCTGGGCAGCGATGAGGGCAGCCAGCATGCTCCTTCCCGGGGGTCCAGGGGCACAGAAGGAGACCCGGATGTGGGTCCCACCTAGCGCCCTGCCGTCAGCCTCTCTCTGCACCTGCTCAGCCATCTCTGCCGAGGAGAACTCCAACATCGCAAACCGCCGGAAACTACCATCCTGGCCCTGAGCCAACTGAATAAAGGAAAATGAAGTTAAATATGCTTTCTTTTGCACTCAGTCAAAAACAAAACTAATGACTATAAGCCTTGGTTCTGCCAAATCAACTACATTCACTTAATTATACATTTAAATATGTTTACACATATAGAAGAATGCTGTAATAAACATTTTGACAGTGTTAAAAACACCATCCACACACACTATGATACAAAACATTTCTTACAGCAATTAGTAGAAAGGAGTATTTGAAAAGATGGTAGAGATAGTAGGTGGGATTAAACTGAATCATGCCCAGAGGCATTCTGGAATATTCTCTCTCCAGTTTGGAACAACTACTTCCGGAGTCTCAATGTTTAAAAGCAATGACCAATCAATTCTCTCCAGTTTGTCTAACTACAAGAAGGCAATGAACAATGTATCCCTTGTTTATCAAGACCAAGTGAGCTATGAAAAAATAATGAGCTTCATATTCCAGATCTCCAACCTGGCCAATAGTTAAAAATTGCCTCACTCACACTATTACGCAACAGCTTTTTGCCAGACCGCGAACTACTGTGCCCTATAGGTATATGAATGACTGTGTGCTTGTGTGTATGTGTGGTGCCAAAAGGACACTGCTCTGTCTCATTCCAGAAAGGCCTGTAGGTCAGGTGGTCGTCACCATAGAAACCAGCAATGCTCATTGCTATAGAAACAGAGTGGCCACAGGAAAAGCAGGTCAAAGGTGAGGGCTGAAAGCCAGCTTCATAGAAAAATACTCAATCTATATCCACCTCCTTTATGTGAACTGCCCAAGACCCTTTCATCACTACAGATGCCCCATGTTTCATGATAACACAACCAACTGAACCTTGTAGCACAGCTACCTCAAACACTACATTCAACAGATGTGTCAAACACACTTGCTCAGTGTAAACCAAAAGCAGTGTTTCTACTACATGCACATAGCAGTGGTGCACTGCCATTAAACCTTGGCCCGCCACTGCAAAAAATTAAATTCATTAAAAAACGTTTTTCTATAAGAATAATAACAATAATTCAGGATGGTAAAACATTTTCAGTGTAAACTTAAAAATGACTAAAACCAGATAAAGTACGTAGACAAGATAATGGCGCAATATATTTTAAAATAAGTTATTTGAGAACTAACAAATCACCTAAGTAAAAAATGACAGTCAGGGACAATCTAAAATTCCAAAAATGTCATGGCATTGGCCCCCCATTGATTTTGTTATAATGTTTGAGTCACCCAGATAGCATAAGAACAAGGCATTAGCAATAGCAAAGTGTATAATTGCAAGAATTTAGCTCTGAAACTGCCAATGTTCTCTCTGCCCAATGGCGAAATGTGTAGAATTGCAGGAAATTAGCTTTAAAACAGCAAAATTGTGTTTTTGTGAGAGAGGGCATTGGAGTTCCTGTTTGCCCGCATGTGACCAACCTGGCAGAAGATGGGTGTGTGCGTGTCGGCCAGGGCATTGCGGAGGTCCTGGGCGGTCAGCAGGCTGGGGGGCAGACGGTCTACACAGAGACACCTGGAGTGCAGCAGGGGGTAGGTGAGGGAGCCCACCTCAGTCCAGTGGACGTACAGCATCCTGGAGCCCAGCTGCTTCCCCAGCAGCTCAGACTTGGCCCTGGCTGCAGAGTCCTTCTTCATGTACTCGACGAAGCCATAGCCCTTTGAGTGGCCAGTGGAGGCGCTGTGGACCAGGAAGCAGCGCTCCAGGTTGCCAAAGGGTCTCACCAGCTCCTCAAACTGCTGCTGGGTGAAGGCGTGGGGCAGGTTGGCGATGCACAGCAGAGCGTCGGTGGGCTGCAGCTGCACAGAGATCTCCCGCTCCCGCAGAACGTGCTGGTGGAACTCTTTGATGGCACATTGTGCCTGCTCCCCGTTCAGCAGTGTGACGAAGGCTGGGGGGAGAAGGGGAGAGGGAGAGAACATGAGCTAAGACCTTGTAATGGACTATGTGGAAGGTTACATTCACACAGAGGGAGAGCGAGACAAGCTCAAAGTAGGAAGACAGTAGAGGAATCTGTTTGCCTAGGTCTGTGAGAGAGCCTGCTGCAGTGCTGACACCAATTAGTCTTACTGTGATTTACATTTTAGTCTGTTTTTTAACCTACCTGTTCCCTTGTATTTGTCCACAAAGCAGTACTTCAAGTCATAGTTGCTCAGCAGCTCATGTACCTCCTGAAAGGGAGAAAGTGTGGTTAGCTACAATCAGTGTTTCCCCTAGGATTTATTTCAGCAGCATTCTCCAGCCATCATTTTTAAATGGCCACAGAGACAATTTTGCTGTTTTGAAGCGAATTTCCTGCAATTCAACACATTTTGCCAGGGCTTATGTAGTGTTCTTATGCCATATGAGTGACTCAAACATAACAAAATCAATGGGGGCCCCATGCCATGACATTTGTTATTTTAGATTCTCCCTGTCTAGTTTTAATTTTTGTGATTTCATCATATTTGTTGGCATGGCAGCAACGATTTAGCAGTGGCACCCTCCACTGCTAAATTAATACCATTACAAGAAATTAATGGGTTATTCTTCAACTACCACAGACCACTTTTAAAAAATACACATGATATGCCCAGATTATTAAAGGTCTACTTTTAACCATACAATGGTGTGTTGTAGAATTGTAGGCATAAATTATGCCTAAAACGAAGTGTTAGACACCAATCACTTGAAAACATGACAAACTAACGTGATGTGTGAACATCCCTAAGATAAAGCCATCTGTTGTGTTGCTCCATCTACATGTCGACTTTTATTCACTGACCATCTTTTCCATTAATTTGGGGTCGAGGCATGTTGCGATTCGTTTTTTTAAATTTCCAATTGGGGATAGTGTGACATTGTTAAGCGCTTTCCACAACAACAAGATTTGATTATACACCATCTGTGGTACCTACATTCTCATCATTATTGAGCAAAACAACTTCGGATGATTGTCTTGCTTACAAACAGGTGTCTTTGCTAATATGAAACAAAAACAAAGCGAAATGTTCAACAATGCTTTGCCAGTTCCACAAACTAATCGCAATGCTGTCTAGCATTTTCTGAAAGCGGCTACGTTGTCTCTACATCTTCAACCTTTTGTCACTGCAACTCACGTTCCAATCTCGAACTCCCAATATGCACCCACGCAAACAATGACACGCGCACAGGCCACAGTTCCCCACGAGTCAAGCATGTTCCAACAACTTTTTTTGTGTGCAAATGTTACAGGGCCATGAAGCTTATGTTTCAATTAGGGAAATTAACTGAAAATCTGTTAACGACAACAGACTTTTGAACAATTCACATACAATGTTTGTCAATCCATAGTCTGACAATTCCTGGTCAAAACAAAACAAAAAGTGTTGCTAACGTTAGCGACTAGCATTGCCTGTCCATCAACCACGCGTAGTGATGATGATGAGTGGGCAATTGCAGCCAGGGCGTGATTAACAACCAAACATCACCTACCACGTACCAGATACTTTGAGACCTCATAAATCCCTAAATATATTCGCGACATAATTAGGAACGACAATTAGGTAGCAAATCATGAACATGCAAGTTAGCTAGCATAGTTTCCTAGTAGCTAACAAACTAACGTTAAGATAAGCTAGTTAACTAGATATAGACATCACCAAAAGCCAGCGAACTCAGTTAAATTACTGGTAATATAGCTAGATTTCAATTTCATGGCAAGTTAATTATTTTTTATTTATTTATTAGGTTAACCTGGATTTGGCATGTGATGAAATTACTACTATACCAACTAGCGAACGTTCACCCCTAGCCGAGTTGACCAGCGTTAGCTTCCTAACGTTAGTGAAAACTAAAAAAGTTTAGCAAACTTACCTGATTGCTAACATCGGATGGCAGGTTTTTAATTATGATTTTACGGCGATTGTAAAACTCTCGACGAGTTCTGTCCAAGCGACTCTCAATCTCTTCAGGGCTAAGCGTCGTCAACTCTTCATCGACCCTTCGCTGACACTCGTTGTCCAGTGTTGATGTATCCCCATCACTGGGCTCGAGTTCGGGGTCTCTGGATACCCAATTCTCGTGTTCGACAGCGGGGTCATAGTTTTCGTGAAGTGGACGGCTAGCGAATATGGGCCCTGCATTTGGGTTTTCTTCTCTGGCAGCTGCGCTAACGGCCGCCATTACTTTTGCTTGGAAGTTTTCTGAAACTGACAACACCGTCAGATTTGAGCAGTTTAAACAATACACACATGGGCGCAACTCGGTTTCTAATTGGACGAGAGGATGCATTTTTTTTATACCACGTCTACGTCATGAACGGGTGGTTGTACTGTAGCTTGCCTGTCATAAATCAAAACTAGTGACGCCCACTGCAACTTCAACAAACCCACATGATCCAGTACATATACTTTTATTACCGGTATGAAAATATGGAGAAAATCACTATATAATTTCTGATTCAATTGAAGTTGAGGTATTTTCATTACATTCAGCTGTGTATGTCCCTGATTGACAGAGGAAAATATATTTTATTTTGGAAAAACAACTATTTGGGAAAATATATAGGCCTAAAATCTAATTATCTTTCGCCTCAAGGCACACTGGACCTTTGCATGTTTATCATACCACATCTGAGTAGGCAGTTTGTTGAAGTTGAAAAACAGAAGAGGACCTCCCTTTGCATGCATGAGAGCACCAGCTGTTCCGGATGACTATGTGATCACGCTCTCCGTAGCCGATGTGAGTAAGACTTTTAAGCAGGTCAACATTCACAGGGCCGCAGGGCCGGACGGATTACCAGGACGTGTACTCCGAGCATGTGCTGACCAACTGGCAAGTGTCTTCACTGACATTTTCAACATGTCCCTGACTGAGTCTGTAATACCAACATGTTTCAAGCAGACCACCATAGTCCCCGTGCCCAAGGACTCTAAGATAACCTGCCTAAATGACTACCGACCCGTAGCACTGACGTCTGTAGCCATGAAGTGCTTTGAAAGGCTGGTCATGGCTCACATCAACAGCATTATCCCAGAAACCCTAGACCCACTCCAATTTGCATACCGCCCCAACAGATCCACTGATGATGCAATCTCTATCGCACTCCACACTGCCCTTTCCCACCTGGACAAGAGGAACACCTACGTGAGAATGCTATTCATTGACTACAGCTCAGCATTCAACACCATAGTGCCCTCTAAGCTCATCACTAAGCTAAGGATCCTGGGACTAAACACCTCCCTCTGCAACTGGATCCTGGACTTCCTGACGGGCCGCCCCCAGGTGGTAAGGGTAGGTAACAACACATCTGCCACACTGATCCTCAACACGGGGGCCCCTCAGGGGTGCGTGCTCAGTCCCCTCCTGTACTCTCTGTTCACCCATGACTGCATGGCCAGGCACGACTCCAACACCATCATTAAGTTTGCCGACGACACAACAGTGGTAGGCCTGATCATCGACAACGATGAGACAGCCTATAGGGAGGTGGTCAGAGATCTGGCCGTGTGGTGCCAGGACAACAACCTCTCCCTCAACGTGACCAAGACAAAGGAGATGATTGTGGACTACAGGAAAAAAAATAGGACTGAGCACGCCCCCATTCTCATCGACGGGGCTGTAGTGGAACAGGTTGAGAGCTTCAAGTTCCTTGGTGTCCACATCACCAACGAACTATCATGGTCCAAACACACCAAGACAGTCGTGAAGAGGGCACGACAAAGCCTATTCCCCCTCAGGAGACTAAAAAGATTTGGCATGGGTCCTCAGATCCTCAAAAAATTCTACAGCTGCACCATCGAGAGCATCCTGACTGGTTGCATCACCGCCTGGTATGGCAACTGCTTGGCCTCCGACCGCAAGGCACTACAGAGGGTAGTGCGTACGGCCCAGTACATCACTGGGGCAAAGCTTCCTGCCATCCAGGACCTCTATACCAGGCGGTGTCAGAGGAAGGCCCTCAAAATTGTCAGACTCCAGCCACCCTAGTCATAGACTGTTCTCTCTGCTACCGCATGGCAAGCGGTACCGGAGTGCCAAGTCTAGGTCCAAGAGACTTCTCAGCAGCTTCTACCCCCAAGCCATAAGACTCCTGAACAGCTAATCATGGCTACCCGGACTATTTGCACTGCCCCCCCACCCCATCCTTTTTACGCTGCTGCTACTCTGTTAAGTATTTATGCATAGTCACTTTAACTCTACCCACATGTACATATTACCTCAACTACCTCAACTAGCCGGTGCCCACGCACATTGACTCTGCAACGGTACCCCCCTGTATATATAGCCTCCCTGCTGTCACTTTGTTTTACTTCTGCTCTTTTTTTTCTCAACACTTTTTTTTGTTGTTGTTTTATTCTTACTTTTTTTGTTTAAAATAAATGCACTGTTGGTTAAGGGCTGTAAGTAAGCATTTCACTGTAATGTCTGCACCTGTTGTATTCGGCGCATGTGACCAATACAATTTGATTTGATTTGATTTGCTTTGCACTCAACCCTCTTTTTCTGAATAAATACACAAATGGGTCATTTACATTAGGTGAAAGTGTTACAAATGATGAACTAACAATTCACATCCTGCATTTTTTGGGCTTTGGTCAAATTTATTAAACAGTCATTGATCGGAGTGATACAGATGCTTAATTTTCAGCATTCACCCACTCAAACATGTAATACATACAAACATAAGGAAAGACATGATATGATACAATAAAAAACAATACATGTTTTATATTTACACCAATAAAGAAATAAAGAAACTGTTGGTAATATACATGCCTCAATTGCAGTGTTATATTAATCATATGAACATTATGAATGACAAATCATGTGGAATGACAGCGCCTCTCCTGTTCTGGATAGTAAATATTTTATATGAATGGGATCCTCCAACTCTGGCTAAAATGTAGAACCTAATTGGATCAGTCATGGAACATTGACCCGTTTCTACTCCCGAGACAGCACTATGGCTGCCATTCAGGGAATTTCACACCTAAAAAATAATAATCTGTCGCATCAACATAAGACAAGGTTTGTGCCATCACTAAGGGGTCATCTATATGAATGAATGGATGAGAATGACTAAAAATCTGAGTTCCCATTTATTAATACAAAGAGCAGTCTACTCCTTCAGAACAGACAGAGGGCACTGTGGTGTAGACTAGAGTAGAGTTATGTAGCAAAGTGCTGAGGTATACAGGAGTAAGGCCAGTTGGCCTGTGGAAAAGTAAGGTTATCATTGGCTAATTTGGGCCAGCTGCACATTGGGTTGCCATTCATACGTCTTGCGAATCGCTTCAATGGTCTCAATGAGGGATTTGAAAGATGGCCTTCTCGCGGGGTCAAAGTCCCAACACTGCTGCATCAACATGTGCACCTGTTGAAAACAAGACATGTTCATTTCCCTAGGTGCATTTGGCCTACAGAAATAATGAAGACTGTGTGAGTGTTTAGCTGTATGCTTTACCTCAGGAGGACAGTCTCGGGGGCAGGGCAACCTATTGTGTTTCTCCAGCAGCTTGATCAGCACCATCACCGTCATCTGACCCTGCACGTTCCCCATCATCTGAATGAACTTCTATAAAAAACACATACAAACGCACACGTCACAATAAATACTCACCAAACCACACACTGACTGCATCACTATTATGTAAAGGGTTGGTGGCCTTGATTAAATGGATCATGCAGATTTAGACTGAGCTGGTTGAGAGAGACAGAGGGTGTGGTTTCGTACCGCTGGAGGGCTCTGACGATTGTCACAGTGGGTCAGGACCTCATAGAGTGTCACGCCAAAGGACCAAATGTCTGAAGAGAAGGAAAACTTGCTCTCCTTCAGACACTCAATCGCATACCTGTAGAATTAGTCAAAGGTTACTGTAAGACACCTTTTTAATGCACACATCTGGACTCTAAATTAGCAGCCAAGAGCCCAGCAGGGAAGTAATTGCTCAATGGCTCCAGGACTCACCAGTACACAGGGCTGTCTCCATCCTCACGCACACGGTAGTAAACATCTCCCTCTGGGATGTATTTGGTCAAGCCAAAGTCCCCAATCTTCACCAGATGCTCATTTTCCACCAGTACGTTCCGGGCAGCCAAGTCCCGGTGGATGTATCGCCTGGAGTGCAGGTAATCCATCCCCTTAAAAGGAGAGGAAAAACAGCAGGAGGAGAGATGAGGGAGGCCAAGGCCAAAGAGAGTGGTGGTTAGAGAAGAAAATACAGTACTTTCATCCTTTGCTGTATAAAACAATATTCCAATATTGGATAGCAAATCTTCAAATTGAACCCAAACAGTATACCAGCCATAGAACTAAACAGAACATTAGAAGGAATCTAGATTACGTACAGTGCTATGAAAAAGTATTTGCCCCCTTTCTAATTTTCTCTTCTTTTGCATATTTGTGATACTGAATGTTATCAGATCTTCAAGCAAAACCTAATATTAGATAAAGGGAACATAAGTGAACAAATAACACAACAATTACATATTTATTTCATGAACAAAGTTATGCAACACCCAATTCCCCTGTGTGAAAAAGTAATTGCCCCCTTACACTCAATAACTGGTTGTGCCACCTTTAGCTGCAATGACTCCAACCAAATGCTTCCTGTAGTTGTTGATCAGTCTCTCACGTCGCTGTGGAGGAATTTTGGCCCACTCTTCCATGCAGAACTGCTTTAACTCAGTGACGTGTGGGTTTTCAAGCATGAACTGCTCGTTTCAAGTCCTGCCACAACATCTCAATTGGGATTAGGTCTGGACTTTGACTAGGCCATTCCAAAACGTCCAATTTGTTGCTTTTTAGCAATTTTCATGTAGACTTGATTGTGTGTTTTGGATCATTGTCTTGCTGCATGACCCAGCTGCGCTTCAGCTTCAGCTCACAGACGGATGGTCTGACATTCTCCTGTAGAATTCTCTGATACAGAGCAGAATTCATGGTTCCTTCTAGTAAGGCAAGTCGTCCAGGTCCTGAGGCAGCAAAGCATCCCCAAACCATCACACCACCACCACCATGCTTGACCTTTGGTAAAATATTCTTACTGTGGAATGCAGAGTTTGGTTTTCGCCAGGCATTACTGGAACCATGTTGTCCAAAAAGTTATACTTTTGAATAATCTGTCCATAGAACGTTCTTCCAAGAGTCTTGATGATCATCCAGGTGCTTTTTGGCAAACTTGAGTCAACTTTTTGGATGAGATGGGTCCCATTATGCCTGGCGAAAACCAAACACTGCATTCCACAGTAAGAATTGGGTGTTGCATAACTTTGTTTATTAAATAAATATGTAATTGTAGTGTTATTTATTCACTTACGTTCCCTTTATCTAATATTAGGTTTTGGTTGAAGATCTGATAACATTCAGTATCACAAATATGCAAAAGTAGAGAAAATTAGAAAGGGGGCAAATACTTTTTCATAGCACTGTATATCTTTATATTACCAGCCCCCCATGCAGTGCTCTTGTCTCACCTGGCAGATCTGCTGTGCAAAGAGGAGGCTGTGAGCCACGCCCAGGCGGTGTTTGAATAGGTACTCTTTGAGGCTGCCCAGGGGTAGGTACTCCATAATCAGCTGTACCATCTGCCCTCCTGTGGAGAGACAACAACAAAACAGGCATTTACACTCATACATACAGATGCTACCCTACACATGTTTACTGTATATGTGAACAGATGCTGGAAACCCCCACACATGAACATGTAATACGTAGGAAGGAGCCAAGCAAGAAACGTAATAAACAAGCATTGTATGAAAATGAGACTGCTGGTCATATACATCAGGTGGATGACAGACAGGTGAGCTTGACTGGATCACATGCTACTCACCCAGCTCAGAGCAGCAGCCTTTGTACTTGACTATGTTGCTGTGGTAAAGAGACTTGAGGATCTCAATCTCCTTCATCCAGCCTTCATGGAGATGGCTGCCTCCCTCATGCTTCAGGGCCTTCACTGCCACATAGTCCCCTGTCCCGTCGTTGGCTGGGTCATACACATAGAGCATCACCTTCCCAAAGTTACCCTGGAGACAGAGAGAGAGCACAAAGCATTCTCTCAGTTAGAGGGAGGCCAGGGAATACTGTTTTACATAAAGCTAGTAGATCACAAAGTACAACAGAATCAAATCAAATCAAATTTTATTGGTCACATGCGCCGAATACAACAGGTGCAGACATTACAGTGAAATGCTTACTTACAGCCCTTAACCAACAGTGCATTTATTTTAAACAAAAAAGTAAGAATAAAACAACAACAAAAAAGTGTTGAGAAAAAAAGAGCAGAAGTAAAAAAATAAAGTGACAGTAGGGAGGCTATATATACAATAGAATAAAGTGACAGTAGGGAGGCTATATATACAGGGGGGTACCGTTGCATAGTCAATGTGCGGGGGCACCGGCTAGTTGAGGTAATATGTACATGTGGGTAGAGTTAAAGTGACTATGCATAAATACTTAACAGAGTAGCAGCAGCGTAAAAAGGATGGGGTGGGGGGGCAGTGCAAATAGTCCGGGTAGCCATGATTAGCTGTTCAGGAGTCTTATGGCTTGGGGGTAGAAGCTGTTGAGAAGTCTTTTGGACCTAGACTTGGCACTCCGGTACCGCTTGCCGTGCGGTAGCAGAGAGAACAGTCTATGACTAGGGTGACTGGAGTCTTTGACAATTTTGAGGGCCTTCCTCTGACACCGCCTGGTATAGAGGTCCTGGATGGCAGGGAGCTTTGCCCCAGTGATGTACTGGGCCGTACGCACTACCCTCTGTAGTGCCTTGCGGTCAGAGGCCAAGCAGTTGCCATACCAGGCGGTGATGCAACCAGTCAGGATGCTCTCGATGGTGCAGCTGTAGAATTTTTTGAGGATCTGAGGACCCATGCCAAATCTTTTTAGTCTCCTGAGGGGGAATAGGCTTTGTCGTGCCCTCTTCACGACTGTCTTGGTGTGTTTGGACCATGATAGTTCGTTGGTGATGTGGACACCAAGGAACTTGAAGCTCTCAACCTGTTCCACTACAGCCCCGTCGATGAGAATGGGGGCGTGCTCAGTCCTCTTTTTTTTCCTGTAGTCCACAATCATCTCCTTTGTCTTGGTCACGTTGAGGGAGAGGTTGTTGTCCTGGCACCACACGGCCAGATCTCTGACCTCCTCCCTATAGGCTGTCTCATCGTTGTCGGTGATCAGGCCTACCACTGTTGTGTCGTCGGCAAACTTAATGATGGTGTTGGAGTCGTGCCTGGCCATGCAGTCATGGGTGAACAGAGAGTACAGGAGGGGACTGAGCACGCACCCCTGAGGGGCCCCCGTGTTGAGGATCAGTGTGGCAGATGTGTTGTTACCTACCCTTACCACCTGGGGGCGGCCCGTCAGGAAGTCCAGGATCCAGTTGCAGAGGGAGGTGTTTAGTCCCAGGATCCTTAGCTTAGTGATGAGCTTTGAGGGCACTATGGTGTTGAATGCTGAGCTGTAGTCAATGAATAGCATTCTCACGTAGGTGTTCCTCTTGTCCAGGTGGGAAAGGGCAGTGTGGAGTGCGATAGAGATTGCATCATCTGTGGATCTGTTGGGGCGGTATGCAAATTGGAGTGGGTCTAGGGTTTCTGGGATTATGCTGTTGATGTGAGCCATGACCAGTCTTTCAAAGCACTTCATGGCTACAGACGTCAGTGCCACGGGTCGGTAGTCATTTAGGCAGGTTATCTTAGAGTTCTTGGGCACGGGGACTATGGTGGTCTGCTTGAAACATGTTGGTATTACAGACTCAGTCAGGGACATGTTGAAAATGTCAGTGAAGACACTTGCCAGTTGGTCAGCACATGCTCGGAGTACACGTCCTGGTAATCCGTCTGGCCCTGCGGCCTTGTGAATGTTGACCTGCTTAAAAGTCTTACTCACATCGGCTACGGAGAGCGTGATCACATAGTCGTCCGGAACAGCTGGTGCTCTCATGCATGCTTCAGTGTTGCTTGCCTCGAAGCGAGCATAGAAGTGGTTTAGCTCGTCTGGTAGGCTTGTGTCACTGGGCAGCTCGCGGCTGTGCTTCCCTTTGTAGTCTGTAATAGTTTTCAAGCCCTGCCACATCCGACGAGCGTCAGAGCCAGTGTAGTATGATTCAATCTTAGACCTGTATTGACTCTTTGCCTGTTTGATGGTTCGTCGGAGGTCATAGCGGGATTTCTTATAAGCGTCCGGGTTAGAGTCCCGTTCCTTGAAAGCGGCAGCTCTACCCTTTAGCTCAGTGCGGATGTTTCCTGTAATCCATGGCTTCTGGTTGGGGTATGTACGTACGGTCACTGTGGGGACGACATCATCGATGCACTTATTGATGAAGCCAGTGACTGATGTGGTGTACTCCTCAATGCTGTCTGAAGAATCCCTGAACATGTTCCAGTCTGTGCTAGCAAAACAGTCCTGTAGCTTAGCATCTGCGTCATCTGACCACTTTTTTATTAGCCGAGTCACTGGTGCTTCCTGCTTCAGTTTTTGCTTATAAGCAGGAATCAGGAGGATAGAGTTATGGTCAGATTTGCCAAATGGAGGGCGAGGGAGAGCTTTGTATGCGTCTCTGTGTGTGGAGTAAAGGTGGTCTAGAGTTTTTTCCCCTCTGGTTGCACATTTAACATGCTGGTAGAAATGAGGTAGAACGGATTTAAGTTTCCCTGCATTAAAGTCCCCTGCTACTAGGAGCGCTGCATCTGGATGAGCGTTTTCCTGTTGATTAATGGCCTTGTACAACTCATTCAGTGCAATCTTAATGCCAGCATTGGTTTGTGGTGGTAAATAGACAGCTATGAAAAGTATAGATGAAAACTCTCTTGGTAAATAGTGTGGTCTACAGCTTATCATAAGATACTCTACCTCAGGCGAGCAAAACCTTGAGACTTCCTTAGTATTTGATTTTGTGCACCAGCTGTTGTTTACAAAAATACAGAGACCGCCACCCCTCGTCTTACCCGAGTCTGCCGTTCTGTCCTGCCGATGTAGCGTATAGCCTGCTAGCTGAATGTTGTCATTGTTGTCATTCAGCCACGACTCCGTGAAACATAAGATATTACAGTTTTTAATGTCCCGTTGGTAGGATAACCGTAATCTTAAATCGTCCATTTTATTATCCAAAGCTTGAACGTTGGCTAATAGGATTGATGGGAGAGGCAGTTTACTCGTTCGCCGTCGGATCTTTACAAGGCACCCCGACCTACGTCCACGGTATCTCCGTCTCTTCCTCACGCGAATGACGGGGATCTGGGCCTTGTCTGGAGTCTGTAGAATATCCTTCGCGAACGCCTCGTTGAAAAAAAAGTGTTCGTCCAACGCGAGGTGAGTAATCGCTGTCCTGATATCCAGAAGCTCTCTTTGGTTATAAGAGACGATGGCATAAACATTATGTACAAAATAAATTACAAATAACGCGGAAAAACACACATAATAGTACAATTGGTTAGAGGGCTGTAAAACGGCAGCCATCTTCTTCCGGCGCTGTTCTTCTAGAAGAAGGTTTATAAGAGTCATGTTGTTCTGCGGGGAAATTAACTCACCTCTCCTAAGTCCCGGATCTTTTTCAAGTAGCGTTTTAGGAAAACGTTCGGGTCAACGTCGGGGCGAGACTCCAGGGGGGATATGTCAGGATCTGATCAGAAACCATGACAGCAACATTAAAGCAACAGTAATCAATCATTAAAATGTGGTCAATCTAAAGACAGAAGAGGAAACTGAATAAAAGGAGAGGACATACTCTTGATCTGTAGCTCAGTGAGCTCTCGAAGCACAGTGCGGAAGGACGGCCTCTCCCGGGGTTCGTAGGTCAAACACATGCTAATGAAGCTGGCCAGTTCCTGCGACGAGGGCTCGGTGAGGCGACTCCGCGTCGCGTAAAAACGCTCTTTCTGTTGGCAGGAGAGAGGTCAGGGGTCAGCATGAATCACAGGCATGGCAAGAGGATGGCAGATAAATTAGTTATGATTAGAGGAGGAGAATTGGAGGGCAGTGATGATAGGGCTGTAGGTACCTCAGTGAGTGTGCTGCCACTCATGGGCAAATCTCCATTGTTGCAGATCTCCAGCAGTGTGGCACCAAAGCTCCACTGGTCGGCAGCGCGGCCGATGGGGGCACCGCTTGGCACACACTCCGGGGCGATCCATGGGATTCGCTCGACACGCTCTGTAGAGCACACAGACAGCCTAACTCAGACCAGGCTCGGCTATATAATACCACTACATTCTGTAGCTACATGAATCACATGGTCTCACAGCACAAACAACATGACCTCTAAAGCCTTCGTGCAAAGTGTCAATATGATGACAAGTGCAAGACAACAGGAAATGGGCCTCACAGCAACCAGGAAGTGATTTGCGCAGGGCTTCCTGTGACTCAATCTGATCTAAAAGAATGAAGAGCAAGCAAAACCACCAGAGACGGAAATCAAGAGTAGCCAAAATAAAATAACTCACTGTGGAGAGATTCTATTTGTCATGTAGTGTTGCCCAACATGGAAGTGGTCTGGTAGGAACTAACTGTTTTATTGGTCAGGTAGGAACTAACCTTCTCTGGACAGCACGTTGAGGGCGATGCCTGGATCGCTCAGCTTGATGAAGGGAAAGGTGCCCTGCTCCAGACCACGGCGAGCCACCAGAATGTTTTTGGCACAGACGTTACCATGTACCAGTTGTTTAGTCTCCTGCAGTAACCAGGTGGTAGGGGTTACAACATACAGTACATTAAGGACACTCAACAGTGGGAGATAAGGGTTGGCAATAAATTAACTATAGACACAAGGGTTTGGAGTTTGAAATGGAGGGGCTATCACAGAAGACAGGATACCCCAACACCCTAAAATATAATTGTTTCATATAATGAGTGAGGAATAATGGTAGTTGTTTGTGATGTGAGGGTATCAGGCTGACTTACGAGGTAGCTCAAGGCACTGGCCAGCTGTTTGGCTACAGTAAATTTCCACTGAGGAGTGACCAGCGCCCTTTCCCTTCGCAGGAACACATCCAGAGGCCCAAACTCCACAAACTCCTCCACCATGATGTCTGCAGACAGGTCAAAGACAAGAATTATTATCAAGGATCACACCACTTACTGTTACAGATGACCGTAACGTCAATGTATTGAGTCTAATTAAAGGGCTATGGTTTGGCTGAGAGTCGGACTTGTGGTTGTACTGTACACCAGTACAGTTGCCTTGTAATTCAAACAACCAATACAATTCACCTTCTGAGAGGGAAGTGTCAGCGCTGAAGAAGGAAGTTGCACAGCTGAATGAGGAAGTGTGAGGTTGAGTAGTGGCATGGTGACTTACTCTCAGATCCTTTGACAGACACTCCGTGTACAAAGACCAGGTGACTGTGAGATACTTGGCTCATCAGACTGGCTGTTTCAAAGAACGCCTACGAGAGGACAGGAAAGAGGAAGGATTATCATGACATTGTAAACAAAGGTTCACATTCAACAGAGTTGAATTGGTGAAAACGGTAGTTTAGAAACAACAAGGTCCATAAGAAACCGTTGCGTGATAGTGGCAAACTGAATTGGAACGTGGGATGGTGTTATCGCACAGAGCTAAAGCCCAGGCATTATTTGACAGAGCTAAAGTCTTCAGGTCTCAGGTAAGGTTACTCATCACGCGATAAATGCTTATAAGAGGATAATGAGCTGGCAATGATACAGTAATGGTAACTCACTAATGCTATGTCCTTGTGGCTCTGGTCCAAGATCTTAAGAACCACTCGGATCCCTTTGCAATCAGTAAGGTTGTTGTTCCACTTGTCCTCCTCATCCTCATCCTCCGCTCCGCCCCACACCAACAGAATGCCCGAGTATATGTTGGTCCTGGTCCCACGGCCCAGATGCTGCTCCTGAGCACAGGGACAAACAGACATACAGACATTTTAGAAGTACTGGGTACAACCTGGACAAAGATAGAGAAGTGCATCAGTGTTCAGTAGGGAAAAATGTCTTGAAATTAAGTGAAACTGGGAGGTACCGTTGCAAATTGTTTCGCTACGGTGTGCCCTACTGAATATAACCCAGGTGAAACATACACAAAGGAGGGCAGAGAGATATATAGAAGAGAAGAATGCTCTCTCTCTCTCACCTGGGTGATCTCCTTTTCTTTGATCTGATGGAACCTCAGCTGAGTCAGACAGAGGGCCACAGAGTCAGGCTGAACACACTGGTCCGCACCCTGCCTCATCACCAAGAGGTTGGACAGTTCTACAGCACACACAAACACTCGTTCAAATACAGTACAGGAAAACATGGACACACAATACAACACTCCCTTACAGAATAACATCTCTGTACATATGTTGAGCTGTTTTAAGTTAGCACAGCACCAATGCACATCTATAAAACACACATCACACAAAAACTAACCTGCAGGTCGGGGTAGGCAGCATTTCTTCACAGTGAAATTGTCTGTGCCAGACTTGAGCACAAAGGTCTTGAGGCTGTCGGTGAGCTCCTTGACAGTGGAGAACTCTCGGTCCCAGCCTTCCAGAGAAAACACTGAACCCCTCTGCAGGATCCTGAACTGCTTGTGGATTGCAGCTTGTCCATTCTATAGGAGGCCAGCAAAGACACACACATGCATCCAAATATATAACTTCTAATGACATTGTATTGCTTTTATATTTTTTTACCCTACATTTGCCATGTTCCCCATCCTTCAGGGTTTGATGTGGAGGCACTTTTACCTGACTCTTGTTTAGAACAGCTAATATGATGCGGTGGTAGTCGAGGACGCTCCAGCGCACAAGAAAGGCTCCCTCTTCAACTGCTTCCTTCCTCAGTCTCTGCAGCACAAAGTCATCACTGAAAAAGACAGTCAGAATTGTAGTGGGAGCCAGGGCAGTGTGTGTATGTGTGTGTGTGTGTTACTCACTTCATTGGTCCATGGAGGCCATTGGTGGCACTGAGCACTACTCTGGGCGGAGCCACCTCGTGACACAGGTAGTGGTGTGCGTCTGCAGTGAGCCGGAAGTACCCGTCCAGGAGAGAGACGAAAGACAGAGCCTCCAGGCTGGACATCATTTCAACCTCCTACACACATATAAACATATCATCCCCAGAAAACACCACCTACACACATTTCACAGTCAGATACCCCGCTTCCATATAGACATACATCATATAGTAAGATGCAACTTCACACACACACCCAAACCTAACTTGAGATCTGAACACTTGACTCAGGATTTTGTATAAATCTTGAGTTAAGTGTGTATATTTCAAGATAAAATTGGGGCCCAACAGAAAGCAGTTGAGAGGCAGGTGCTCTAACCATAGAGAAGTTGTCCTGTTTAATGATGCTGACGTTGGCTCCAGTGATGGCGATGTGGGAGATTTCAGGGAAGTCGCAGAAAGACGTCCATGTGTCGAAGGATTTGGGTTCTTGCTGGAGGAGCGATTGCTTCACACTTTTCCGATTCCCTAAGTAATCATTCCCAAAGTAACTGTTGGCCTGAGCCTAGAATGGATAGACAAAGTTACAGAACATCCCAAAGAAGGCATACTACGAGAAACACACAAAGGCAAAACTCACAGTTCTAATTAGAAGTCAAAAGAGCCTGATAGACATCCAATGGGACAGACAGACATACCTTCTGCACAGTGATCTTCCTCCACTGAATCCCCTTGGTACCAGACACCATGACTTCATGCGTGGCCTGAGGGCCAAAGTTCTCAGGGTCAGAGGCCCCGTGGGCGTGGCTGGTGGTGAGGTAGGAGCCGCTCCCGTCGCCCCCGTCCTGCCTCAGCTCCAGGTGGGCCGCGAGGAAGGTCTCAGTGCCGAAGTGGGGGGCTAGGTGCTCCAGAGTAGACAGGTATTTATACATGACCTCCTGGGAGCCCAGGCGTCCTACGTCCACAGTGTGCTCCTGGAAGTTCCTCACAAAGTCAGCAAACACACGCCGGATACGGATCTTGGTCAGGAAGTTGTCCCTCGCTATGTGTTTGGAGAAGGATCTCGGAATGCAGCGCAGGAAGCTACAGTATGACAAGGGGAATATGGAAGTAATACAAAACATTAAGGCTGCGTTTGTAATGGAACTAGATTCCCTATATAGTGCACTACTTTTGATAGTGAATAAGGTGACATTTTGAACACAGCCTCAGTAATGTCTGAAACCTTGTAATGTCTGAAACCTTGTCAAAGCCCTTCCTGAAGCAATGCACCCATCCACTCTGACTCATGGCTTACCTGACAGACTTGGCCACTTCCTGTAGCGTGCAGCCTGAGTGCAGGGCCTGGTGAGAGAGGTGCAGCACAGCCATCCCCAGACTCTCATTCTTAAAGCGACTCAATTCTTCCTTTCCCTGAGCATCCTCCATCGGCACGACATCATTCACAAAATCAAACTTTGCCTAAGAGAAACAAAAAGGAAATGACTTATTACTTTTTCTTACACATGTTCACAATATGAAAATGTAAGTGTGACACAGGATTGTTATGTGAATGTACACTTCCACAGGAATATATGAATACAAACACATTTGGGATAAACCACGCCTCATTCTGAAACTCACCTGGGAGAAGAGGTATTCCAGGGAGGGCATTTCCAGTAGAGGTGAACCCTCGTGCCCTGTCCCTGACTGTGGGTCATATCGCAGCACTGACGGCTCCTTCTCACTCAACCCATGCCAATTCCGAAAGTAAAACCTGGGAACAGAAAGAGAAAATCCCCTATAGAAATATGCCTGTACGTAAAAGCATACAGTGCATAGTCTCCCCATACAGACCGATACTAACACTCTTTCACACAAACACACACTATAAAAACGGTTGGCTGGTATGCCCTCGCCCGTCTGAGCGGTCGGCTGTGAATGCTCTCACCTGCTAGTACAATTATGCTGACTGGGATTTGGGTCCGGTGAGAACAATGCTGATGCTTCTCTTTTCAGGGTTTTTATTTCCTTTTCATTACATTTCATTTCAGTCATTTAGCAGACGCTCTTATCCAGAGCGACTTACAGTAGTGAGTGCACACATTTTCAATTCCGGTCCCCAGTGGGAATCGAACACACAACCCTGGCGTTGCAAGCGCCATGCTCTACTAACTGAGCCACACACGACTACTTAGTTACTTTACACCACTGCCAATTGTATTTCCCGTTCACACCATAGTAACAATTATAGATAAAGAGAGAAACACACATTAAGCACACACCCACTTTTGGTAATATAACATGAATCTTGACTGGGAGTGAATCTTGGTGGAATAGTACTTGTGTTACTCCAAATGATTTGTGGTTATTTCGCAATGCACGCACCACATTCAGGTTACTGTCCACAATAAAAATAGTCATCAGAAATATGCGTCTTCTTTCTTCGGACAACGATAACACTCTGACCTGAGTGGGTGGGTGCAGTGTCCAGATGCGCCTTTCCAATCGCTCTGATTGGTTGGGAATGGCAGGGCTATGATGGGTGAGGGATAACGAAGGTATGCTGAACAGCCAAACTAACGGGACTCAAGGGAAACTGAAGGGACTGTGGGAAATGTAGGTAGAGAGGGGAGCAGGACAGCCTTTTTTACACACACACACACACTAACTAACCTCATGCGATAATGGAGTGTCAGGCTTGTCTTCTCTTCTGGGTTGAAGAAATGGTTTGGACTGTACCAGCAGTGGGATTCAGGGTCATATAGGGAAAACAGAACATGGCACAGTGGAGTGATACCTAGGGGGGACAGATATGTAGGTTACACACACCTTGGATAAACCCTTTCAATGACATAAAGTGCATTCGAAAAGTATTCAGACTCCTTTCCGTATTTTGTTACTTTATAGCCTTATTCTAAAGTGGATTAAATAGTTTATTTTCCTCATCAATCTACACACAATACCCCATAATGACAAAGTGAAAACAGGTTTTTAAACATTTTTGCTAATGTAAAAAACCCCAGAAATACCTAATTTACATAAGTATTCATACCCTTTTCTATGAGACTCGAAAATTGAGCTCAGGTGCATCTTGTTTCCATTGATCATCCTTGAGATGTTTCTACAACTTGATTGGAGTCCACATGTGGTAAATTCATAAGGGCCTTGGTCAGGGAGGTGACCAAGAACCCGATGGTCACTCTGACAGAGCTCTTGAGTTCCTCTATGGAAATGGGAGAACTTTCCAGAAGGATAACCATCTCTTCAGCACCAATCAGGCCTTTATGGTAGAGTGGCCAGACGGAAGCCACTCCTCAGTAAAAGGCACGTCAACCCGCTTGGAGTTTGCCAAAGGGCACCTAAAGGACTCTCAGACCATGAGAAACAAGATTCTCTGTTCTGATGAAACCAAAATTGAACTCTTTGGCCTGAATGCCAAGTGTCACGTCTGGAGGAAACCAGGCACCGCTCATTACCTGGCAAATAACATCCCTACGGTGAAGCATGGTGGTGGCAGCATCATGCTTTGGGGATGTTTTTCAGCGGCAGAGACTGGGAGACTAGTCAGGATCGACGGAAAGATGAACGGAGCAAAGTACAGAGAGATCCTTGATGAAAACCTGCTCCAGAGTGCTCAGGACCTCCGACTGGGTTGAAGGTTCATCTTCCAACAGGACAACGACTCTAAGCACACAGCCAAGACAACGCAGGAGTGGCTTCAGGACAAGTCTCTGAATGTCCTTGAGTGGCCCATCCAGAGACCGGACCTGAACCCGATCGAACATCTCTGGAGAGACCTGAAAATAGCTGTTCAGCAACGCTCCCCATCCAACCTGACAGAGCTTGAGAGGATCTGCAGAGAAGAATACAGGTGTGCCAAGCCTGTAGCCTCATACCCAAGAAGACTTGAGGCTGTAATCGCTGCCAAAAGGTGCTTCAACAAAGTAAAGAGTCTGAATCCTTATGTAAATGTGATATTTCCGTTTTTTTATTTGTAATACATTTGCAAACATTTCTCAAAACCTGTTTTTGATTTGTCATTATGGGGTATTGTGTGTAGATTGATGAAGAAAATAAACTATTTAAATCATTTTAGAATAAGGCTGAACGTAACAAAATGTGGAAAAAGTGAAGGGTTCTGAATACATTCCGAATGCACTGTGCAACCCAGATGCCTGGGGTCATCAACCCACATACACCCTTATGTGCCAGGCTGCCAATGTCCTCAAACATGAGGAAACAGAACACCACACAGCTAACCTGAGAGCCCTAAATTCCTTCTCAATACTCGCACAAAATATTGTATCTGTTTCATTAGAAAAATAAATGGCACTTGCTCTTACCCACAGTCTGTGCTGCAGAGATAGAAAGCTCCTCAGCTGTCACCTTGCCCTCTGTGTGGGTCAGATAGCGCTCCCCTCCCTTGGTCCAGAACAGATAGACATGGACGCCTGGTCCCTGAGGAGGCTCACACTGGCCTGTGGATGACCTTGTCCTCTTGGAGCGGCCACTTCGAGACATCGTGGACCAGGCTGGGTCACTACACCTGTCACAGGTTGGAAGTAAGAGAAAGGTATTTCACTGTAATCTAGCACTTACCACAAACAGTAATCCAATACAGTGTCTTGCAGTGCAGAATCACTCATTGAAAAGGAAAGTAGATAACAATGAAAGACATATGTTTTATACTTTATACATGGGTTTTGTATATATAAAAAACGTATTGAAATTACAATGAATTCTGGCATCTCATTAAAAAACATAGCCTTATTGTAGCAAGTAAGCACATCTGGATCAAATAGATTTGTTACCATGTAATTTATCAGCAACATTACCATATTCGGAGAATATTTTCTAGTAAGGCCTTCCGGGTATTGCACATGAACATCAGTAAAGACGCAATTGAAACGATAACATGACATGAAAATCTGGATATGATTTATCCAATGTTTCCACAATTTATTCTCACCAATACATGAATCACTGTGTCATCGAACTGATTTCTTACGGATATAGTGGCATATAGCCTACCGTGTACTGTAAACAATTGTAAGCCAGAGACATAAAGCCCACTTCCTATGCTTTATCCGCCAATGCTGGAATAAACAAGGGGATTTGTAAATTGTACTGCACATTTGTCAAACTATAGGTTTCTTACCATTTAGTTGCGTCTCTAAAACGTGTAGTTAGAAAACCCAATGCAGGTTGAACCGAAGTCCAGTCTTCGTATGATTTCCTAATGCGTATTTCCCCTACTCCCACGTAATCCCGTGAAGCGCATAGATAGAGAAATCAGCTACGAGACGAAAACACTGAAAGCCACGTTTGGCCACCCCCATTGAACCAGCTGTACTACAGTTGGCTTGTAGGATAGATGTTGCACTTAGCATTATTATGCAATGGAAGACAGGTGAAACGATCTTACAATGTTTCAAATAAATCAAAATTCAAGAACACCCTATACTGACTCATGTACACCACATCAGTGTTATTTTTAATAGCAAATACTAATAAAAGTGATTCTCCCATCAACGTAAAAGGTGATGTGAGGCGACACCTGCTGGTCAAGTGAAGGAGAAACCAATTAGCAAAAAGCTCGTAAGGGGCCAGTACACCGCAATTCAAAATATGTCACATTTTGATATGATCCCATTTCAATCTCAGGTACTAGGCTATACCAAAAGAGTATGCATTACATACCATCACGTTACAGCACTATGTATAATTCTATCACATCAAGAACTCAAATCCTGCCGTGCGTATCCCTATACATGCAGAACCTGTAGTGAGACTATTGAATAAAAAAGAGAAACAATGTTCCCCAGCAACTGAAAGCACACAGATACAAGGTAGACAACAGATTGGCTGGCTAACACACACACACACACACACAAACACACAGTGTACAGGCAGACACACACACAAAGAGACTATGTACAGGCACACACAAGTTTAAGAATACAGCTTTACTAATAAGGCCCAAGCAATAATTATGTTTAAAAAAAGAAAAGCATTCAGCAAGTGATATTGGTGTGATATTGTTGTCCACAAAGAGTGGACATCACCACAGAGAGGTTACATTGTTCCAAAGCGTTAAGGACAAATTCATGACAAAACATTGGGAGTAGCAATAGAAGTAATGACTACATAGATGAAAATATCATCATCGTAAAGTCAATTAATGTCAATCATTCTATCTTCTGTTCGCCCATCTCCTTATTCAGCTCTTCATAAGTAGCGTCTTCCTCCTTGTCGTCTCCCTCGTCTGCCCGTGAGTTAGGGACCCAGAGGCCAGAGTCAATGCATCTCTTCATGTGGACCTTAGCCTCCTGAGGGGTGGGAACAACAACATTCAGAGCACCAGTTTATAACAACTCCAGGAGGTTTTATGTCACTATTGAGTGTGCCTTTACATTTGTAGTACAATGTATGTTGTCATATGCTTGCCCCGAGCATGTGGAAGACAATATAACATAAGAAACACAGCAATGGATTTGGTTTTGTAACCTACCGTTGGGTCCAGCTTAGTGATGACAGTCTGCAACATGGCAATGTCCTTCTCGTCAAAACATTTCTGCATCTCCTACAAACAGGACAAAATAAATGGCTTCTTTAACTTGCAAAACCAAAAACAGACGTAGGGATGATGATTATGATGTAAGGATGGTGCTAAATGAAGGAGGAGGTGCAGCAGTAGATGTCCTGTACCTCAGGTAGGGACTCATACACCTCGGCAGGGTCCAGTCCTCCGGGCCCCAGGCGTTTCTGTCTCTCCTCCTCTTCGTACTCCTTCATGGCCCTCTCGATGCGGATCTTGGCCCTGCCGCGCACCCTCTCCTTAAAGGACTCCAGCTCATCGTTGAAGGCATCCTGATACTGCTGATCTGCAGTCTGAGAGAGGGAAATGTAACCGTTGTTGGTCTATATGCTTTGCTATTGAGTGCAAGTGGGAAATGTATTACCTTTACACACAGACACACTTAGTCACAACCAAACAAACCTTTATCTTGGCGAAGAACTGACGGAAGCAGCCGCGGGGATCCACCTTTAGGCTCTTAGCCAGCTCCAGGATGAACTGCATCACTATGGTCTGGTGGGCCACCTGCTCCATCAGAGCTTTCTTCTACAGGGGGAAAACATCAACAGGACACTGACGTTAAGCCTTGTGTATGCTCATCTGTATCAAGAACAGGCAACTGCATGTGTACTTCGTACTGAGGTATTTTTGGGCAAATAAAGAGGATCAGACGATCACTTACTGACCTACTTTTATAACCTTCTCTACACCAGGATTATGCACCAAACGTAAGAAAATTTACTGAAACAGGGAAGGACTACCTGGACTTGTCCAACAAGAAACACTATAGCTTTGTTTCAAAACGTTTTGCTACCTTGTGCCCTACTGAACATGACCCTGATGAGTGTCCTCAGGGGGAATGTATAGTGGATGAAAGCCCTAATGGGTTATTAGTGGTGAGGTTTGTAGTATTACGGTCCTGCTCTCACCTCCTCCACCTCCAGGTCAATGCACATGATGACTAGGTAGTTGGCCGTCTCCTCACACACCAGGTGAGGGTTGTCTGATAGGTACTTCTGGCTGTCGTCCCAGCGTTTCATCATACCTGACAACACAGACAACAGAGAACATGGCCATGACAACACCTCACAAAGAACGGGGACAACAAAGAATGGGGACAACAAAGAATGGGGTAATGACTCTCACCAAAGTGTTTGATCTCTTTCTCATACTTCTCCACAAAGGTCTTGTGTTTCTGCTCTTTCTGCTCCTCGGTCTCCTCCTTCACATCTGGCTTAACGTTCATAACGCTCTAGGAGAGACAGAGAGAAGGACAGAGAGAGTGTGAGTGGGGTAAGTCAAGTGGCATCAGCAAATAACCATCACCTGCAGCCAGGGAGCACCAGTGGTTCCACACACTAAACCCACCTTGCTGAAGCCCTCCTTGCAGAGTGTGTCCACGTTCCATGGCATCTTCTTCTCTTCCCGCCGGTGGTCCTCCAGTTTCTTCTCCCAGTCTCGCTCCTCCTTCTTCAGCCTCTTCTCCTCGGCCTGTGCCTTGCTCAGCTCGGCTTTGGCATCGTCCGTGGCTGAACTGGCCAGATTCTTTGTCTTCTTCTGTGCTTCAGTCAACTTGCGCTTAGATTCAGCCAGCCCCTTCTCCAGGTCCTCACCAGCCTTTATGAACTGCTCCATTCTTTCCACACGCGCCTAGTAGATGGTGGGGAGAGGGGTCAGGACAAAGGGACCTCATCGAGGATAACTAGCTATACAACACATAACGCCAAATGTTGTGACAAACGTTATGTTAAACTTTCCATTGCGTTTATCAGCGATAGCAGGCTGTTTACATAACGTAGCTAGCTATTTGCTAGCTACATCATCTGCAAACCTAGCAAGCTAGCTAATAATGTGATAACTAGCTAACTTACAGAGACCAAGTAACGTTAGCTATCAAATGCATCACTCTAATCGACATAACGTTACCTCGTGTCTCCATTTGAAAAGGCTGGGTGTATCGATGTTTGGATGCGTGTCATCTTCATCATCTGAAACCTCAATGTGGTCCCACACGCTGTAGTCTATCCTACTTGTCATTCTAGCTACCTAGCTAGCAGGCTAAAAATTTGCTTGCAGCAAGAGCACGTTAACGTGATAATAACAGATGTGAGTCTAATGATAGCCAATTACAACGTAACTAGCTAACTTCAAACCTTGTTAGAAATTATATCGGTAGCTAATATATTTACTATTGCTGAACAACAATGTAGCTGCTAGCTAAGGAGGAAACCCTGGAAGTTTCCGTTCAGACGTCTTCCACGTCTCTACGTAAACTCGTCATTGAAGAACGTCAAGGCAAACGCATGTGGGTGAGGCATAAGTATTTTATAATTTAAAAGAAATATAAATATTATTTTGTAGATATAATAATAATAGCCTACCATCATTGATAATAATAAAACCAACTGACCATAGACATTTACATTTGTCATTTTATTAGTGTTATTATGACACGTAAAAAAGAGAGAAAGAACATTAACAACAATGTAGATTTCCAAAATAAAGTTAATGGATAGCTTATTCATGGAGTGTATAACTATTCACACTACCTCGCGTTCTAGGGTTCTCCACTCTGAAAGTGAACCGTATACCCTACATATATATTTAAACACATCAAAGTATACGTTATGTTGCAATAACAACAAGAATCAATCATAACACAATAATATGCTACTATAAACTACTACATGACCAAAGTCTTTAAAAATGTAAGGCGATTCTTCTTTTTCTATGTGATGGTCTGGCTGACATTGATGACGCTCTCTGACACCTGTAACAAAACAGTGCAAATTGATATTAGAGACAGACAATATCTTCCCTCTGCTAATCCCCCAAATTTGGACTTTTGTTTTTTAAAGCCAACACTCCACTGCGGGGAAAAGTCACATCAAATCAAATTGTATTTGTCACATGCACCGAATACAACAGGTGTAGACCTTACAGTGAAATGCTTACTTACAAGCCCTTAACCAACAATACAGTTTTAAGAAAGAATACCTAAAAAAAAATAGAAAAAAATAGAAAAAAATAAAAGTAACAAATATTTAAAGAGCAGCAGTAAAATAACAATAGCGAGGCTATATACAGGGGGTACTGGCACAGAGTAAATGTGCGGGGGCACCAGTTAGTCGAGGTAATTGAGGTAAGATGTACATGTAGGTAGAGTTATTAAAGTGACATACCTCCAATGTGGCCCTTTGTACCTTCAAGAGACTCCTCACATTACATACCTTAGAAAAATCAAATAAGAACAATGGCTTCTATAACAAGTGTGATGGGAAGGAGTGCTAGCTCAGTCCACTAAATGTTTGCATTTAACAATGCTCCCTTCATTGTGTCCTCCTACCTTAAGACTTAGTCTTGATGATGAACTGCTTACTCTTCTTGCCAATCTTATTAGAGGAAATGCAGGTGTAGGTCCCTGGGAGCAAGGTGGAGGAGGTAAGAACAGGTTGGTCCTCCATCTTCTCTTTGGGATCTGAAGACTGCCAGCTGTACACAGGACTGGGGCTTCCTGTAGCCGTGCAGTTTAATGTGATTTCATCCCCCACTCCAATGTGCAGGGTCTCAGCCTCAGGACTGAGGAAGGATGGGGGGTCTGAGAAAATAAGTAGAAGGGAAAGGGATGGATATTGCAAATAAACAAATACACAAACACAATTGTATTTCATTGTTTCTCATGAAACTATTAATGGTTGGGTTGAGTGGATAGACTCACAGTTCACAGAGACGTTGAGAGGCTCTGATGTCACTGAAGGAGACGGTTGTGGTCCCTCTGGTCCCAAGTCCAACTGAGCCACACACTTGTACTGAGCTCCGTTATCAGCTTTGGTTGGGGTGATCAGGAGGATGGAGGATACTTGGACAGGGGAGGCAGGGGTCAGGTCAGAGAAAGAGTGGTTGTAAACTTCAGTCTGCCCTCTGTACCACCTCAGGGTGAGGTACTGAACGGGGGCGATGTTCTGGACATCACAGAGCAGCTGGTACTCTTTCCCCTCCGACATGGGACCAGTGTGGTTCGCTGAGCTGATAGTGACGCTGTCTGGAGTCTCTGTGAAAGATCAGCTGGTTAGTGTGTCAAGCACAACATGTACATGTAGTAGCAGTCGCCACAAACATAATGAATCATTATGAAATATGGTCTGATGCATGTACAGCACCCATGCTCTGCCTTTAAGGCAGCTTTATTTAGGCCAGGTTGACTCACTGTAAAGGATGAGGTTGAGTTTCTCCTCACACTGTCTGGGTGCAGTGAAGAAGACTCCATAGCAGATAGGCTCCTCGATCCAGTCGATCAGACTGTCCACCTTCCATTGGACAGCACGGTCCTGTTGGGTGTGTGCTGACCCGATGGCTGACTCCCAGCCTAGGACACGCACCGGGCGAGACGCCTCACAGCTGACAGACACAGGCTCCCCAAACCCCACCACCACCCTGGAGGGTTTCATCTCCAGAGAGCATCCTTCACTTGACACTGAGACATGGACAATATCATCATCACCATCATCATCATTATTACATCGTCTTCATCAGCATCATCATCGTTGTCACAATCTTTTTCATCATCATCATGATCATCTCATAATAAAATTAGAAAGTTATATTATTGCTGGCCTATCCACAACATTCATATTTGTTCAATAAAATAACATTTACAGATACAAAGATAATGTTGCTTGCAGTGATTTGATTGTGTGACTTTAGCAGGTGTTTATGTTCGGTTTGTATCACTGTGGATATAAGATTGGGTGGGATGCAGGTTCCACTTTGCCATCATCTCTGGGGTGCACATTTAATTTCAGTGGACAAAGCACAGGTAAATAATTCACACACTCATATATGCAATATTATATAAGAGTATTTTGCCAAAGAGCTTTAAAACCATTTATGACCAATTCTATTACCAAAAACGTCTTCAAACTACAAACTCGTTGATACAAAGTCCTCTACTGCAGATGTCCCATTATCCTCGACTCCAAATAAAAGCATTGCACAACACAGAGAATAAGCCTATCTTATGAATAATAAAATGTTGTCTCTTACAACATCTTACCAGTGCAGAACATGCAAAAGGTTAGTATCCATTTTAGAAAGTAGTTTTCCATCTTTTTGCAGACTTTGCTGAGGTCCACTATGGTCGGAGTTGAAAGGCGAGTGGAATTCCGACTTGGTCCTGCTTGGCAACTCCAAAGTGAACTGTGATTACAAACAAAAGCCCTCCCTCACCAAACGAGGGCTCTCATACCGTAGTCTGTGTCTGACTGCAGGGCCCCGAGGGGGAGAAGAGGGGGCTAAGGAAGTTTGACAGACATCAAGGCCAGACCTCCTCAATGGTAACTCATTAGGCCTACATCCCACAGGGGAAATTCTTCCTTTAATCATCTATTTGTGATTTAGTTAGAATCTGTATTTTCATGTTCAATGAGAGTTGATATGTCAGACCCATTATATATTTCACCCCAAAATGTATTCCTACTCCTAGAATCTCAGCCTAGATCTTCTGTAGTTCTGTTCGCTGTCATGTATTGTTACAGCAGCACAACCCCAAGCTATTCAGATGACATCTCTTTTCTGTTTTTAGAAAATGCCCATATAAAATTCCATGACTTCAGAAGGGTGCTACAGTTACAATTTTCAGTTATTTTATCTGAAATTAAACCCCAATGACCTGTGTTAACTTGCCTGAAACTAAACAGTTCCTGGGTGACTGTGGTTTGATATACATAAGTGGTTTGAGAGAACTCACACTGCAGTTTTACTATTTTCTGCAGGCATGTTTGATTCCCATACGCGCGCTGCTTGGAGACCCCATGCTTTGTCAAGACTCAGCAGGTTTGATTGTTGGACTTGAGTTGTCCGGCATGTAGTGTGTAGGCCTCACGCTGTGATCAGAATGTACCACCACTGCACAACAGCACCGGCCGTGATTGGGGTGCCAGAAACATTGCTCAGTAATTGGATGCTTATTGGGTGTATTTATAGAAGGCACAGCTGCCAATCCTCAGTGTCTACAGTATGTCTACTCTCTTTTGTTTTGCTATGTTGTGCATTTCTGTTTGCTGTGGAAGTACAGTACAGTACACTTGTTTCAGAAAATTATCATGTGTGTATAATATAAAATGTTTTTGCTCCAGAACTAAATGTGCTGGCAAATTGTCAACACTGCAGCCAGGTTGTTATAGCAACAGTCAGGCTGCACACACAAAGTGTTTCTTGGCAAGGCAGAAGTCCCCTTCACCAGGATGAAGCAGAACCCGAGTGACACAAAAAGACACACACTCAATTCTGAAAAAGGAAGTATTTATATGAGCCACCTTAGACAGGATAACAGATGGACTTTCATGCTTTGCTTCACATTGACCTTAGTTTGCACTGACTAGTATGGAAGTGTCACTGCTACAGTGATGTATGGGAGACAATGAGAGAAAGGTTCACAATGGCATACAAAAAACAGTAGAGGAACATGTCACAGTGAAAGACTGATTATTTCAAAACTTTAACTCAATGAGTATAGCTGGTTGATGTTTGACAGTGAATGCTGTGTATGCATGGTAAACATCACCTACATTGTCGATTCAACACTTTCAACCAATGTTACAGCCCTATTGAAAAGGGAAATTAAAGACAGCATCATTCTCACCTAAATAGGTTGCAGTAGAACACTGCATGAAACGGAATCTCAATGCTGAGCCTGACAGTATCAGCATTCCGAAGAGAGAACTAAATGTCTGAACGGAAGAGCAGTCAGATGGAAACCCTCACATACATCACAGAGGTCATATAAACATAAGCAAGCTGACCAAAATGTCTAAATAATGTAGAGCATGACTGTAAGTGACTGTTAAAGAGAGCATATAACAACATTCAGTGCTGAAATGAAATGGACAATAAACACATAATTAGTTAGTGACACAATACACAAACATTACATGTAAAAAGCTAATTTACAATAGTGCAACTCAAATAGTGTTGTGTGCACCTTACAAGCACCATTTCCAACTGCACCAATGCTATTCCAGCCCTGCGCAACGTGAACTGAACATACCTTGCGCTTTACACTGTAATCATACCTTGAAATATCTAGCATGAATGTGATGATTGAAGGACTGTGCCACTGCACTCTTGTCAAAACAGAAAGAAGTGGCAAGTAACATCATCATCTCAGGGCATTGTTTCAAGTAACACACAGTATTGCAACATCTTAAAGTACCATGTGAGCCAGCTATGGTGAGATATGACTGTGTAGCCTATTCACCTGAGATAGATAAAAAACATTAGTGGACTTTCTGTCTTCACAGCCCTGAGCCTGTGTGCAGGAGACTGTCCATGGGGATCATGACGGTTTGGATGTTCGCTTCCCTATGGTCCACAGATATAGGTTGAGAAAGTGAAAGATCAATGATTAATGCTATCATCAAGCATACTGACAATACTGAGAATCAAGGGTGCTGTGATGGTAAAAGAGAGAAATAAAGTGGAAGAGTGTGGGCAGAGAACAAAATGAGCAATAATGAGGAGAGATGCTGCCTGTGGCTCTTGGAATAGCGAACTTAATCAGTTAAAATGCTCTGGTACCACCAATTTAGAGCAATAACTAAAAAAAAGCATTAGATAGGAAGTGATGCATTGCATGGCTCATTTCTCACTGTACAGTCACATAAGGTCACTTGGTGCTGTCATCAGACTACAGCGATCAGGCTAGTCTCTTTTCACAGCCGCTTTACCTCCGTGACAGAGACACAGTTGCTGTGAGAAGAGAAACTACATTCAGGTATGCTTGATTATAAAACAAATAATAAAACAGGACACACATGCCTGTGAATGAATGCTTTGTAGTGTCGCGCCACATGCTTACACAGACACAGCACAAGCCACATTCAAAACAACAAATAATTAAATAAGCAACCATTATTATTCATAGAGTGTCTGTTGAGGAAGTCCTGCTGGTCAGACTGGCGATAGAATTGCTCTTCCTCTGGCCTGCTCAGATGATGGAGTTGGGACCTGCTGTCTGTTTGACAAAGAAATAGCCAATCCCGACCAGCAAGGCCAGGCCCAGGCCCGATCCTAAAATGGCATAGAATGTTCCCTGTGGGAAGAGGGTGTGGTTAATGAGGGTTTGATCAGCTGACCATCCCAAGCTCCTCAGCCCCAGCAACAGCAGAGTTTATTTGTTTGTGATGCAACACACTGACAGACACTAGAGCAAAGGAAGCCAGCACGCCCAGTACTATCCCTGCAGTGGTTCCACGACTGCCTGGAGAAACAGGAGCAAATTGGCAATATTAGACATTTAAATATACTGTCAAAGGAGATATTTCTCAGAGTAGTCTATTTGGGAAATATTAAGAAAGTAACACATATTCATGGTATGGGAAAATTGGGTCCCACTTTACATTAAGTGGACTGAAAAACCTATTTCCATGGTAGCTAGTTTCATATGTACAGTGTAGTTACAATGTAATAATTGCAAAGTAACAAAGTACTTGTGGTTACCTGATGATGTACCCTTACCAATGGACACAATCTCATTCAGGTAAAGGGTAACATGAATGCCACTAGTGAGTGAGTGAAGGGGGGAACGAGAAGGGAAGAGGGAAGGGTAGAAGGAGAGAATAGAAGCATTTGTGAGAAAGATAAGACTAGGTACTAATTAGAAACATGATCCTACCTTTAGGTTTGGGATTCACAGTGAATGTCTTGCTGTTCTTGCCTATCAGATTGGAGGCAGTGCAGGTGTAGGTTCCTGGGAGCTCGGAGGAGGCGGGGAAAAGAGCTTCTTGGACATCTGAAGACTGCCAACTGTACAGAGGAGTGGGCCTTCCAGTAGCCGTGCCATTTAAGGTGGTTTTCTCCCCCACTCTGATGTCCAGGGTCTCAGCTTCAGGTCTGGAATAGGTTGGGGGGTCTGATTCCCTTTGTACCACTTCACAACCAGGTTCTGTAGAGGAGCGATGTTCTGTATGTCACACTGCAGCTGGTACTCTGTCCCCTCCACCATGGGACCAGAGTGGTTCAGAGGAGAGATGGAGATGCTGTCTGGAGTCTCTGTAGAGGAGGTCAACAAGGTAAAAAACCCTCAATGCTGATATACGGTTAAACAGAAACATAACTTTCACATTCACAAGGAGGAAAATACTCACTGTAAAGAATGACTGGAAGCACTTCTATGGGTTGGTCGCTGTTAGTGAGGGTCATGTAGCATTTAGGTTCTATTGTCCAATCAGTAAGGTTATCCACAGTCCAGATGACAATGTTGACAGCTTGTTCTAAACCTGTACCTCCGTATGTGGCCTCCCAGCCCATCCCCTCGTGGTCTGTGGATGATGTGCTGCAGTTGACTGAGACTGAGTCTCCATATCTCACCACCACTCTGGGAGGGTTGAGCACAAGAGGAGAGGAGGCATGTGTAGGCCTGCCTACCGGTCAGACCACATGACATGTGAGCAACATGGCAATGATTACATGCAACCATAAAATAGCACTGACATAACAAAGCAATGTCTGTCAATAAACATATATGTGCTAGTATTTTTGCTGGTTTGTATTACAATCTCTCTGCTGGCCAAGACAACTGGTTTGACTATGCAAAACTGAACGTTTGAAGTGGCCATACTTTTCTCTATCAGAGGGTAAGCGAAATTTGCCTATTGATTCTGCAAAAAAAAGGACACAGTGTCACTCAGTCAAGTCAGGAACAATGGAGTAAATGATTCAAACTTTTAATATTGATAGTGCTCTAAGGCAGGGGTTCCCAAACTTTTGCACTCAGACCCCTTCCAGCATTGTGGAACATCCTGCACCCCCCTGTGCATGCGCCACGTCTATTTCTATGGGCAAAAGCACTGTTCATGACACAAACTGTTCACACCCCTCTTGTTGGCGAAGAGAAAATCTTGCAGGTTTAAAGCTTATTTCCTGCAATTCTACACATTTTGTCATGAGGTGCAGAGACAATTTATCATTTTTAAAGCTAATTTTTTTGCAATTCAATACATTTTGCCATGTCCAATGTGTATTTATGTGATATTTAAGTGATTAAACATTACATCAAAATCTATGGGGCAAGAAACCTAGCAATAAAACCTTAGCTGACATGGGTAATAAAAAAAAATCAGTCGGGCTTTCAATTTATTAATGTGGTTGAGAGTTGTAACAGTAGAATGCACAAGGTGCAATTTCGAAATTTGGTAGTGCATGGGAAGTTTTTATCTTGTTATGTCATTCACTGACAGACATTAGAGAGCTATTTATAACATGTCAGAAATGTACAGTTGATCAACTAGCCCATGTTAGCTAGGTAGGTATGTCAGGCTAACCAGCTTGTAGTTATCATGGCCAGTGTTACGGATACAGGTATCCTGTGTCTTTTTGTGTTCTTCCTCTCCTTCTGCCCTAATCACAGGTGTCCTGTATGTTCCTGATTGGTGGTCGTTGGGGTGTCTGCTGATTGCTAAGGTGGACCAATCAGTGAATATTCCTCTGCATTGCACCAACTGTTTCTGGTTTTTCAATCACACATCCCATTGTTTAAAAGCTGGTCAGTTGTGTTTGTTGTTAGGGAGACGATTTCTGTATGTGAGTATGGATACTGTGGTGTCCTGTGTTTTGTTTACTCACTAAGTTGCTGGTTACTCTGTTTGGTAACTTTGTTAGACTACTTTTCGTATGTGAGTATGGATACTGTGGTGTTTTGTGTACTCACTCATTTGCTGGTTACTCTGTTTGGTAACTTTGTGTGTTTCTGGGAAAAGGGGAATTTAAGCAAGTTGCCCTTGGGCGTACATTACCCTTAGGAAGAAAACTGTCTAAAAACACTAGTTAGACCTGAGCGGACCACCCACTGTACTTTTGTATGATTAGCAGTAGCTTAGCGGTTCTTGAGGCAGGCAAGATCAGTTTAGGGGTGTTTTACACCATTGTTTCATTTCTTGGGTCCTGCTCAGCCCTTTTTCCTAAACCTTTACCGTGTGTTTAAAAATAAACCTTATATGTTTGACGGTAGTTTATGGTTGTCGTGTAGTTTTTGTTCTCACTGTTCCATGTCACGATTCTAATTTGCATGAATTATGTTACGGGTCTCTTCTCCATCCACCCTAGACGTTTAAAGCCACGGGGTTCGTAACAGCCAGAATATGTGCCCATGGGGGCCTCCATTGATTTTGTTGACTCACTCAGGTATCATATGAACACATTTAAGACATTGCAAAATGTGTAGAATTGCAGGAAATTTGCTTTAAAACTGCACAATTTTTTTCTCTGCCCATGGCAAAATATGTAGAATTTTGGGTAAATTCGCTTAAAACATGATAAATGTTATTTCTGCCAACAAGAGGAGAGTGAGCAATTTGGGGTCATATGGTTCGCGACTCGCGAGGTGGGGGGTTGTTACTATGCCGACAAAGACAATATCCATCCAGACTTTTACCACCTATGAAATGACTGACATGACAAGAGAAACTGATGATACAGTACCCAATTTTGAAATTGCACCTTGTGCATTCTACTATTACAACTTTCAAGCTTAAATTGAAAGCTGGACTGAGTTCCTCAAAAACCCTCCCTGCTGACCCCAAGGGGGGTGCGCCCCACAGTTTGGGAACCACTGCTCTTAGGGACCAAATTCGAGAGAAACAATTTCTATTCTTCAAAATGAATCTACCACACCCACCAATAGAGATCTTTCTTGATCAGATATCTTTCTTGATCAGAGACATATTGATTCAGTGGGAGAGATTGGACTTGGACTTCAAATAGTCAAAAACAAGTTTACTATGACTTCCAGAAAGTTTATCATCAATCCTAGAAAATACAATTAAATAGTAATTGAGTTGTTTAAACAATGTAATATTCACACGGTAATACGAACAGCAAACATCTGTAGTTCAACAAAAAAGTACAGTGAGGGAAAAAAGTGTTTGATCGCCTGCTGATTTTGTACGTTTGCCCACAGAAAAAGAAATTATCAGTCCATAATTTTAATGGTAGGTTTATTTCAACAGTGAGAGACAGAATAACAACAAAAAAATCCAGAAAAACACATGTTAAAAATTGATTTGCATTTTAATGAGGGAAATAAGTATTTGACCCCTCTGCAAAACATGACTTAGTACTTGGTGGCAAAACCCTTGTTGGCAATCACAGAGGTCAGACGTTTCTTGTAGTTGGCCACCAGGTTTGCACACATCTCAGGAGGGATTTTGTCCCACTCCTCTTTGCAGATCTTCTCCAAGTCATGAAGGATTCGAGGCTGACGTTTGGCAACTCGAACCTTCAGCTCCCTCCACAGATTTTCTATGGGATTAAGGTCTGGAGACTGGCTAGGCCACTCCAGGACATTAATGTGCCTCTTCTTGAGCCACTGGCCGTGTGTTTTGGTCATTGTCATGCTGGAATATCCATCCATGACCCATTTTCAATGTCCTGGCTGAGAGAAGGAGGTTCTCACCCAAGATTTGACGGTACATGGCCCCGTCCTTCATTCCTTTGATGCTGTGAAGTTGTCCTGTCCCCTTAGCAGAAAAACACCCCTAAAGCATAATGTTTCCACCTCCATGTTTGACGGTGGGGATGGTGTTCTTGGGGTCATAGGCAGCATTCCTCCAAACACGGCAAGTTGAGTTGATGCCAAAGAGCTCCATTTTGGTCTCATCTGACCACAACACTTTCACCCAGTTATCCTCTGAATCATTCAGATGTTCATTGGCAAACTTCAGACGAGAAATTTGATACACTGCCGATTTTGCAGGTCTTCCTACTTACAAAGCATGTAGAGGTACAAAAATCCAGAAAATCACATTGTATGATTTTTAAGTAATTAATTTGCATTTTATTGCATGACATAAGTATTTGATACATCAGAAAAGCAGAACTTAATATTTGGTACAGAAACCTTTGTTTGCAATTACAGAGATCATACATTTCCTGTAGGTCTTGACCAGGTTTGCACACACAGCAGTAGGGATTTTGGCCCACTCCTCCATACAGACCTTCTCCAGATCCTTCAGGTTTCGGGGCTGTCGCTGGGCAATACAGACTTTCAGCTCCTCCAAAGATTTTCTATTGGGTTCAGGTCTGGAGACTGGCTAGGCCACTCCAGGACCTTGAGATGCTTCTTACGGAACCACTCCTTAGTTGCCCTGGCTGTGTGTTTCGGGTCGTTGTCATGCTGGAAGACCCAGCCACGACCCATCTTCAATGCTCTTACTGAGGGAAGGCGGTTGATGGCCAAGATCTCGCGATACATGGCCCCATCCATCCTCCCCTCAATACGGTGCAGTCGTCCTGTCCCCTTTGCAGAAAAGCATCCCCAAAGAATGATGTTTCCACCTCCATGCTTCACGGTTGGGATGGTGTTCTTGGGGTTGTACTCATCCTTCTTCTTCCTCCAAACACGGCGAGTGGAGTTTAGACCAAAAAGCTCTATTTTTATTTTTTTGTCTCATCAGACCACATGACCTTCTCCCATTCCTCCTCTGGATCATCCAGATGGTCATTGGCAAACTTCAGATGGGCCTGGACATGCGCTGGCTTGAGCAGGGGGACCTTGCGTGCGCTGCAGGATTTTAATCCATGACGGCGTAGTGTGTTACTAATGGTTTTCTTTGAGACTGTGGTCCCAGCTCTCTTCAGGTCATTGACCAGGTCCTGCCGTGTAGTTCTGGGCTGATCCCTCACCTTCCTCATGATCATTGATGCCCCACGAGGTGAGATCTTGCATGGAGCCCCAGACCGAGGGTGATTGACCGTCATCTTGAACTTCTTCCATTTTCTAATAATTGCGCAAACAGTTGTTGCCTTCTCACCAAGCTGCTTGCCTATTGTCCTGTAGCCCATCCCAGCCTTGTGCAGGTCTACAATTTTATCCCTGATGTCCTTACACAGCTCTCTGGTCTTGGCCATTGTGGAGAGGTTTGAGTGTGTGGACAGGTGTCTTTTATACAGGTAACGAGTTCAAACAGGTGCAGTTAAAACAGGTAATGAGTGGAGAACAAGAGGGCACCTTAAAGAAAAACTAACAGGTCTGTGAGAGCCGGAATTCTTACTGGTTGGTAGGTGATCAAATACTTATGTCAAGCAATAAAATGCAAATTAATTACTTAAAAATCATACAATGTGATTTTCTGGATTTTTGTTTTAGATTCCGTCTCTCACAGTTGAAGTGTACCTATGATCAAAATTGCAGACCTCTACATGCTTTGTAAGTAGGAAAACCTGCAAAATTGGCAGTGTATCAAATTTCTTGTTCTCCCCACTGTATATGTGCTTTCTTGAGCAGGGGGACCTTGCAGGCGCTGCAGGATTTCAGTCCTTCACGGCGTAGTGTGTTACCAATTGTTTTCTTGGTGACTATGGTCCCAGCTGCCTTGAGATCATTGACAAGATCCTCCCGTGTAGTTCTGGGCTGATTCCTCACCGTTCTCATGATCACTGCAACTCCACGAGGTGAGATCTTGCATGGAGGACCAGGCAGAGGGAGATTGACAGTTATTTTGTGTTTCTTCCATTTGTGAATAATCGCACCAACTGTTGTCACCTTCTCACCAAGCTGCTTGGCGTTGGTCTTGTAGCCCATTCCAGCCTTGTGTAGGTCTACAATCTTGTCCCTGACATCCTTGGAGAGCTCTTTGGTCTTGGCCATGGTGGAGAGTTTGGAATCTGATTGATTGATTGCTTCTGTGGACAGGTGTCTTTTATAAAGGTAACAAGCTGAGATTAGGAGCACTCCCTTTAAGAGTGTGCTCCTAATCTCAGCTCGTTACCTTTATAAAAGACACCTGGGAGCCAGAAATCTTTCTGATTGAAAGGGGGTCAAATACTTATTTCCCTCATTAAAATGCAAATCAACTTATAACATTTTTGACATGCGTTTTTCTGGATTTTTTTGTTGTTATTCTGTCTCTCACTGTTCAAAAAAGTCCTTTTTTTGTCATACCTGTGGTATATGGTCTGATATACAACAGCTTTCAGCCAATCAGCATTCAGAGCTCAAACCACCCACTTAAAAAAAGTAATGTTAGGCAATTTTCTGGCAATTGTGACTATTATGTGCCAGACGTTAAGACTACAAACCGTTATAAATGGCTTATTTGCGAGATTGACTTGTCATTTCAATAAGCTAGGCCTACTGACTAAAATCTGGGTTCATGATTGTAATTCAATTTTGACATGGTTTGGTTAACTAGATGCAGGTAGCCTATATCCCCTGATAGACCTACATCTAATTTCAGATAGCCTAAAGTAACCTAGGCAAGATGTAAAATGAACGATTTAGCAGCTTGCTTAGTTCAAATTGACAGACTAATTTATTCAACATGAATAGCGAGGCGATTTCGAGGTAAGAAGTGCTTCTGTTGCTCTACTGGAATAGGCTAGTGAGGATGGGGTCGTCATTTCAATCACTGATTCTTAATAATAAGGATATGAACTGATTTTTTTTTTTTTACCTGTATCCTAATCTGACTGACTGTTACCTTCAGTCTAATGCATTCTAATAACAGCTGATCGGCAATTGCGATAGAACTGTGACCATGATCACAATTGATAACTTCCCATTTCATTAACTAAACATGCCCATTAATAATTACATAATAACACAAGGCTACAACAACAATAAACTGACGTTATAGGCTATTTATTAAAACCGTTTGCCAACTCCAGGAAGGCTACACAAGTGTCACAAATTGATTTGCAATGACTCCAGTGATATAGTAATTGTATCAAATGGTAGGCTACAGTATCCTACATAGGCATAGAAATTAATAGGCTACTTGATGGCCAACAGATACAAATGTAGGATATCATTTTCCAAATGTAATGCCAGTTTCATTGTGGTCTTTTCCCCTTAATAGAAGCACGCGAGGGAGTTCCATAACTTCCATTTAAAATGTCCACTGAGCATGCGTAAAACCCTTCGCTTACTATGGTTTTCCATAAGCAAAATCGACATTAGAATGCAGTTTAAACCACCTAGCGAATTTATCTAATGCGCTCTAGACCGCCTAAAGTTGTTTTCCTGGGGTTTGTCGCCGTTATTGCTTGATGCGCATCTGTTCTGTTCTAGCGCGTTAATGTTTTATAGAAAAAGGGTTGTAAATAGGTCTCCATAATGACAATCTAAATAGCCTACCTACAACTGCTAAAAAGTTGTGAAGATGTGCGCGACGCGTGCTGCTGTCGCTACTCTCACTCACGTGACTCAGCTGCTGCGCCCAGTCTCAACACACACACAACCCCTCTGGCCCTCCCCTCCCCTCCCCTCCCCATAACTCACTCACCCACTGCCAGATATTCAGCAGCAGCAGGTCACAGTAAGTTATTTTTAAGAAAAATGCCATGGCGGCCGCAATGTAACATAGAAGTAGCCCAAAAACCCGCAACCAATAGGCTACATTTTCATCCGCGACATCGTTTTCAAAGTAGCCCAATTGTACAAACATTTCGAACATGGCAACCCTGAATCATCGCCCTCATGGTGGTGCTATCAACAGCCAATCCAGTACGGGCTGGAAACCATAGTGAGATTCGATTGGTCAATAGCAAGACGATGTCGCGTAAGCGACAAAAGTTCAATATTTCAACTTTCCCAAAGATTATGGATATACAGACTTTCCCCAATTTTGGTCCCGCCCTGTTCACGCTCCGTCTCCACGCTCGCGTCGCCCAATGTTCGCCCCTACCACTTCGCTTCCTTCAATGAAAATGAATGGGCTTCCGTTGTTTCATCGGGGATGACGGAGATCCCAAGGGGCGCGTCGCAAAGGAACTGTTGTGCAAGATCAGAATGATGACCAGCTGTTTTGAAATCCTGTAGATTCCTCATATGAGCAACATACAAGAAAAATAAAGTTCTGCAAATCACACAACAAATCTTATGAGATAGATTCTTTGAAATTAACACATTAGTGCGTTTTCAGGTCTCTTCTATAATTCATTAGGCCTAAGGATATGATTGTTTTTCTAAACAAAAGGCCTATTGAAATATTTGATATATTTTTCACAAGTTACATTTTAAATACTCATAAATTGATCTCCAGGGGGCGCACAAAATTCACCAAAGAAATGCTGTAGTGTGGGGTATCCTCTAGGCCTACTAGGGCTATAAAAAGACATAGGGGCCTAATTTACATTTTGTGGCCACAAATGTAACAGTTAAAAAATATTTGTAAATATATAATTTACTTTCTGACATATTTTTAGAGAAATATTAACACATTTTGCTCGATAGTTTTTTTCAGTCATTTTCACAATAAAACAATAATTATCATTATAAAAACTCCATATTTTAATGATAACTCAAAGCAATATTATACAAAAGATTAATACAAATTTTGTGTAGGCTACATACAGTGGCGAAAGGGGGTCAAGGGAGATACTCTCTCTCCTAACAACCAGAGGACCAATATTGATAGAAAATCGACACTGACTATCCCTTTGTACAATATGAATTGTTCTCTTCTTCCCTATCAGCCCCCTTCTTTGCAATCTATTCTCCATGTACTCTAAGGGCCCTTAAATGTTGAGGCACTCATTTTTACAGACTTTAATAAATATACAGTTCTATATTTTATATTACATACACAAAAGGCTTTGAGTTTACATGAAGTGGCCTAAAACGTATGCATTTATATTGTAGTTCCATACACTCACCGGCCAGTTTATTAGGTACACCCATCTAGTACCGGGTCAGACCCCCTTTGCCTCCAGAACAGCCTGAATTATTCGGGACATGGATTCTACAAGTCAGAAACATTCCACAGGGATGTTGGTCCATGCTGACGCAATGGCATCACGCAGTTGCTGCAGCTTGGACAGTGGTACACCACCGCCACCAGCCTGTACCGTTGACATCAGGCAGGATGGGTCGTGGGCACCCGTTTCTGAGATACTGGATCTGGCGTGTCATGCTCAAAGTCGCTTAGGTCACTTGTTTTGCCCATTCTAACGTTCAATCAAACATTAACTGTATGCTTCGATGCCTGTCTGCCTAATTTATATAGCAAGCCACGGCCACGTGACTAACTGTCTGTAGGAGCGATCCATTTTCGTGTACGGGGTGGTGTACCTAACAAACTGGCCGGTGAGTGTATATGGGCACCTTGTAATTACAAATTGTTACATACTTGTAACTGTATAAAAAAATGTATAACAGCTGTAAGTACTATGTAACAATGTAACTACCATGTAATTACAAAGGTTTTAGGCCACTCAATGTGAAGTGGGACCTAAAACGTATTGACATTACTCTTGATCTCCAGGCTTTCTCTTGACTCCTACATTTGATAATAATGGCTTGATTCAATCTGTTTACAGGAAGAGGCAACCACACACCAACTGCCCCTTCCACACATTCAGAATCCACATGCAGTCAGGCATTACAGCGATGCAGTTAAAACACTGAACACTCCAGATGCAGTGCTGGGTGAGTAGAAGCAGTGTAGAGTAGTAACAGAGTAGCTTTGACCCCCAAATGAGACATGAGCTCCCCTAAATGATCTCCCCACTGGTTTAAACCACTTTCAATTGGTTCAGGTTCTTTCAATCGCATTCATCTCTCTACTCTGCCTGTGCACTGTTTGGAAGTTGGTATTCATTTGGAGTGGACAAAAATGCACAGGTAACTTACATTTTGAAGTGATTTGTTTGAGAATCAGATGAAACCATCATGACTGGTTGTGTTCATGCCACATTAAAAGGTAATACATGTTTACCGTTAAAATATATCTTTACTATTAGGCCCCAAATAAATGTTAGGAACTCCCGTAAAAAAAATTGAGACCACCTGAATTTCACGGTATAATTTGCACTCTGGGGAAATAATACTCTTCATATTCACGTAGGCTAAGTTAATTGGTTTCAGTGATCATTGTGCTCACAACCTAAAGAGGTTGTGTGTATATACTGTAGCACAGGAGGTTGGTAGCGCCTTAATTGAGGAGAACGGGCTCGTGGTAATGGCTGGAGCGGAATCAGTGGAATGGTATCAAATACATCAAACATTGTTTCCATGTGTTTGATGCCATTCCATTCGCTCCGTTACAGCCATTATTATGAGCCGTCCTCCCTTCAGCAGCCTCCACTGTACTGTAGGTTTACACTCCAAGCTTCTTGTCACGAGCAAGACATCACATCCAAGCAAAAGGGACATTCTCACAATTTCAACCATGTGCTGCTCTTCAAGCAATAACATAATGTGATAGCAATTACATTGTCATCAGACCAAACTAAAAAAAGACATTCAAAATGACATCAGAATTCACTTGTTGGTGCTTATGCAACACAAACCAGTTTTTCCAAAACCAGTCATATAAAAAATACATTTCAATAAAGCTGTTTTCCAAAGAGGGATTTCACCTTGTCCATTTGCTGCATCTTCTTCTTGTCCTTCAGAGAAAACATCAGCTACACTTTGATGGTAAATAGATCATATAGCTCACACTAAAATAAAAGGTGATTATACCTCATCAGGTTCTCCAGGAGAAGGGGAAAAAGAGGGACTGATTTGTACTTAAAATCTTAGTGCTAAAGAGGAAAGGGAGTGCATATGAAGCATAGGGAGGTTGGAGGAGAGTCAGGAGACACTCCTAACTATCACAATCCAGACCTGAGTCTGCCAGCTGAATGAGTTGCTACCAGTCCCTCAACCACCTCAACCACTTAGTCTCTCATTGGGGAAAGAGGGCTCTTCATTCAGAGTGGCCCATCCCATAGACAACCCAATACAACTCATCCTCCTAGAAGTAGATGTTTGGCTGAGACAGTTTAGTTATGGGGAGCGGAATGTCCCGGCCACCGTCCTGCGCTACGTTGCCGTTGGGCGTGCTGCTGAGCTTGGCGTTCTTTAGGCTGTAGCGGCCCATCTTGGTGTTCTTGTAGTAGATGGAGTAGATTAAGACAAAGATGACGGAGATGACCACGACCATGAAGGCCACGAAGCCCGCTATGAGGGGCAGGTAGTCCTCTGTGACAAGAGAGACAAAACAACAAACACCCATCAATCCATCACACTCTGTTAACGTTGTGGCGCCACCTCAGACTGAACCATTGTCACCTTCAAATAGAGGTGAGTCAATACACTGATTTATCCTACTTCCACCAACAGGAAAGAATAAGCACGAATCACTTAACATAATATTACATGATCCCGCCAGTCAGAGTAGATCTACAACATCTACCATAAGAGTGGGGACATCACTTAACTTTACCCTTGAAATACTATTCTACAAGGCAACAGTCAGCACTGAGCTAAACTGCCAAATATTCAACAACTTCACCCAACACTCTTCAATGAATGATGGATGATGCTCAGTTCTACCTAGCACTCTGACAAACGGTCAATAGCTTCACCATGGGCCCTTCCCAAGGAGTGTGTTTGATGGCTGATCTATAGCTTCACCATGGGCCCTTCCCAAGGAGTGTGTTTGATGCCTGATCTATAGCTTCACCATGGGCCCTTCCCAAGGAGTGTGTTTGATGCCTGATCTATAGCTTCACCATGGGCCCTTCCCAAGGAGTGTGTTTGATGCCTGATCTATAGCTTCACCATGGGCCCTTCCCAAGGAGTGTGTTTGATGTCTGATCTATAGCTTCACCATGGGCCCTTCCCAATGAGTGTGTTTGATGCCTGATCTATAGCTTCACCATGGGCCCTTCCCAAGGAGTGTGTTTGATGCCTGATCTATAGCTTCACCATGGGCCCTTCCCAAGGAGTGTGTTTGATGCCTGATCTATAGCTTCACCATGGGCCCTTCCCAAGGAGTGTGTTTGATGCCTGATCTATAGCTTCACCATGGGCCCTTCCCAAGGAGTGTGTTTGATGCCTGATCTATAGCTTCACCATGGGACCTTCCCAATGAGTGTGTTTGATACCTGGTCTTATATGTGCATAAAAATATACTGTCTCCTCATCATCTCCTCATGTTTTGCAGCTTTGGTTCAAACTCCCTCACACAACATATATGTACTACATGTATCTGACTACAGAATGTGGCAGGAGGAGAGCAGTTCAGAAAGCAGTAACTAAGAGGTATTGGATAGCTCAAAGGATAAAGGACATATGAGAAAAACTGCTTAGTTAAAAGTTAATAATTACATTTGTTCAGAGAACATTAATCAGTCAACCCATGAATAGCAGACACAGACAGAGAAAGGAGACCAGAGAGATGGAAGGAGGAAGCAGACAGAAAGCTACACCAGCCAGAAGAATCATCCTACAAGATGTTCATAAACAGTAAATCATGGGTTAATAAAGGGTTTAATACAGTTTAATAAAGGTTCCATTACCTTTTAAAACCACCTCTACCACAATGAAGCTAGTCTCCACATCGTTGGTGGCGGTGCAGTTGTAGAGCCCTGCCTCAGAGACAGTCAGGTTGCCTCCCGCCTCACTAACATGCTTCGCTGGGTCATAGAGCCACTGTATCCTGGGCTGTGGGTAACCCTCAGCCTCACACACTAACTCCTCAGGATAGCCCCTGAACACAGGTATCCTCAGTGGCAGTCGAGATGCATTGATGCATGGCTTATCTTAGAGAGAGAGAGTATAAAGTCAGGTGGTTTCTTAAATGAATTACTGCAGTGAAGGAGACAAACACAATTGCACGTTTGATTAATTTCTCCTAACATTACAAGTGGAGTGGAGTGAGACTTCACCGTAGAATATTAGGCATTTATGGAATGTGCATTGGGACATTGCATTATCACACATGTTATGCAACGTTAGTGTGGTTTCTATATATTAACAGTTCTCTGCAACTCACAGTGCACAGTAATGTTGAGAGGTTCTGATGTCACTGAAGGATGGGGTTGTGGTCCCTCTGGTCCCAGGTCCAGTTCTGCTCCACATCTATACTGAGCTCCATCATCATCTCTACTGGGGGTGATCATCAGAGTAGCTGACACATTCACTGGTGTCTTAATGATGTTACTGTAAGTTACATTATCTACGGGTTCATTCCCTTTGTACCACTTCACAACCAGGTTCTGTAGAGGAGCGATGTTCTGGATGCCACACTGCAGCTGGTACACTGTCCCCTCCACCATGGGACCAGAGTGGCTCAGAACAGAGATGGACACTCTGTCTGGAGTCTCTGTGGAAGACAATTTTCAGACTTATTAGTGTTCCAAGATCAAATCTAACCTTTAAAAAAAAACTAGAAGTTAATATGAAACAGTAAAAAAGAGACAGTAAATATGTGTAAGAGCATATCGTGAACAATAGAGGTGTAACGGTTCACCAAACCCACGGTTCGGTACGTATTGTGGTTTTGGGGTCACAATTTGTTTCGGTACAACAGGAAAATGAAATGCCATTCACAATGTTCATATAATACAATATACAGTATAATATATTATACCCACCAGATACAGAGGATACCCACTACGGATGGCGACAACAAGTCCCATTGTTCTTCTGACATAGAGAATGAGGAAGACAGCATCTTCACTTACTGTATAGTGTGATGTGCAGAGGTATACTGCATCTTCCAATCCCCTGAAAGGTTGCATTACAACTAGGCCTTATGTCCCAGTCTAGGAGTTCCACAACACTCCAGGTAGTATCATTGACAACTTGGGGACCTGTGGTCCAGTAGATCTCTTCAACACTAGTTGTGTTGCTGCATGACACTGAGACTGGAGATCCATATTCCACCACCACACTCTCAGTGCTCAGCTTCATAGGACATACCGGCTCTGCACCTACAGAGTTAGGAGAAAAGAGAGATAATGAATTACATCATTTAAATACCTGGTAATAACCAACAATAAATCACATCATATTTCAATGACCAGCAGCAAAAAAGGAAAAGGGTGGTCAAATGTGACATGCAGCTGGAACTAAAGCCGCCATTGACTCAGTAGACCAAAATACAGGAAAATGAGTCAGGAAGGGTACCCTTCCTTCACAAAAATTGACGTTTTTTGCCTCCCATTCTTTAGTGCAGCTTTTATGTCACTGTCCCTTCCCTAATAAGCTCCATCAATTATATAACCCACTTCACAACAAAGTAACATACTTCACAACAAACATTGCATAAAGCACATATCTATGTAACTTCAATGTAACTTCAACTAGTTAAACAATGATTTATTCAATGAACTGGGGTCTAGTGTGTGTGTGCACGCACTTCCCTTGTTCTTTAACACTATTGCTGGATTCATGAATATGAATAAAATACCTAGGAATAATATTTCTATACATGATGTTGACTCTCTCAGAATCAGAGAGCCCAGTGCCAGGTTATCCCATATAAGTCAATATCTACCTTTGTAGCCACTTTCATCTCAACAATGTGCGTTTATTAGTGTGGTATTTTTTTCTCATCATATTTTTGGATAGGCAAAATAAAGTTGTCAGCAATTTGTATGACGACGAGAACATTAACATTTCCTACAGTGGACAACACCGATGACGTCCCGTTCAGTGCGCGACAAAAACTTACTTGATTCTGACCCATTCAACAGCAACAACAGTTCCAAAGTCAAAGCGATTGAAATAAGACGATTTAGGTACAAATCCTTCATTGCCTGAGCTCTTCAGAGGCTTTGTAACCCGTCTGAATGTCTAGCGGCCCGTTATCTAGCAGCCTCTGAATATATCTACTCGAGTGCTTTCCTCCAGTTCACTGGAAGTTGCAGCCGCGCGGCGCCGACTTGTTGACTTATTTAACGAAAGTGCAGCCAGCACGGCACATTCACTCTATCCCTCAACTCCACTCCCTCTTAAATATAATAGGAACCAACCCTCCCCCACAAGCACCAGCGCCTTTATGGAGGGCCAGGCCGTTTCTAAATGTGTTATTCAATGATGGAACGAGAAACCACATCAAAAAACATTATCTAGGCTATAAAAAAGGTTATCTAGGCTATAAATAACGACATTTCAGAAAGCAGAGATGAATTTGGGAAAACAAAGCTGTAGGCATACTGTTTTTTTTCTCTCCAGTAAGATACTGGTTGAGCTCAGTTTTATTTCCTGGTATTAAAGGGAGAGTCCAGTAATATTTATTTCAATTCATGTTCCTCATCATATTTGATGTCACGAAATTGTGATATTATCATATTATAATAGACTATCATATCCAAATGCATCACTGAACCATGACATAATGTCCAGTAGGCTTAAGCAAAGATGACACAAATGCAACTGTGAATACAGCACATAGACATAGAGTATACAGTGCCATGCAAAAGTATTAAGCCCCCTTGGCGTTTTTCCTATTTTGTTGCCTTATTTAAACAAAATAGTCCAAACTGGTGAAGTGAAATGAAAAAAATAACTTGTTTCAAAAGATTCTTTAAAATAAATAACGGAAAAGTGGGGAGTGCATATGTATTCACCCCCTTTGCTAGCAAGCCCCTAAATAAGATCTGGTGCAACCAATTACCTTCAGAAGTCACATAATTAGTTAAATAAAGTCCACCTGTGTGCAATCTAAGTGTCACATGATCTGTCACATGATCTCAGTATATATACACCTGTTCTGAAAGGCCCCAGAGTCTGCAACACCACTAAGCAAGGGGCACCACCAAGCAAGCGGCACCATGAAGACCAAGGAGCTCTCCAAACAGGTCAGGGACAAAGTTGTGGAGAAGTACAGATCAGGGTTGGGTTATAAAAAAATATCAAAAACTTTGAACATCCCACGGAGCACCATTAAATCCAGTATTAAAAAATGGAAAGAATATGGCACCACAACAAACCTGCCAAAGGAGGGCCACCCACCAAAACTCATGGACCAGGCAAGGAGGGCATTAATCAGAGAGGCAATAAAGAGAACAAAGGTAACACTGAAGGAGCTGCAAAGCTCCACAGCGGAGATTGGAGTATCTGTCCATAGGACCACTTTAAGCCATACACTCCACAGAGCTGGGCTTTACAGAAGAGTGGCCAGAAAAAAAGCCATTGCTTAAAGAAAGAAATAAGCAAACACGTTTGGTGTTCGCCAAAAGGCATGTGGGAGACTCCCCAAACATATGGAAGAAGGTACTCTGGTCAGATGAGACTAAAATTGAGCTTTTTGGCCATCAAGGAAAACGCTATGTCTGGCGCAAACCCAACACCTCTCATTAACCCGTGAACACCATCCTCACAGTGAAGCATGGTGGTGGCAGCATCATGCTGTGGGGATGTTTTTTATCGGCAGGGACTGGGAAACGGGTCAGAATTGAAGGAATGATGATGGCGCTAAATAAAGGGAAATTCTTGAGGGAAACCTGTTTCAGTCTTCCAGAGATTTGAGACTGGGACGGAGGTTCACCTTCCAGCAGGACAATGACCCTAAGCATACTGCTAAAGCAACACTCGAGTGGTTTAAGGGGAAACATTTAAATGTCTTGGAATGGCCTAGTCAAAGCCCAGACCTCAATCCAATTGAGAATCTGTGGTATGACTTAAAGATTGCTGTATACCAGCGGAACCCATCCAACTTGAAGGAGCGGGAGCAGTTTTGCCTTGAAGAATGGGCAAAAATCCCAGTGGCAAGATGTGCCAAGCTTATAGAGACATACCCCAAGAGACTTGCAGCTGTAATTGCTGCAAAAGGTGGCTCTACAAATGATTGACTTTCACCCCCAAAAATATTTTGCATCTTCAAAGTGGTAGGCATGTTGTGTAAATCAAATGATACAAACCCCCCAAAAATCCATTTTAATTCCAGGTTGTAAGGCAACAAAATAGGAAAAATGCCAAGTGGGGTGAATACTTTCGCAAGCCACTGTAGCACCATAGAGAGAGACATGGTAGACCTGAGCCAAGAGTGTCATTAGCCTACATTACCAATGTCCTGGACGCTTTGATGACAGAGGCTGATGAGGTGAGTGTCCCCCTTAATATGTAAAGCGCTTTGAGCGTCCGGACAGGCAAAATCCAATAATGTATTAAAATTGGAGAAGGTCTTACCTCTGACAGAGACCCTGGCTCTTTTAGAGACTTTTCCCAGGGTATTACTGGCGTAGCATGTGTAGTACCCGATGTTCTCCCCTGTGGCCTGCTCGATGGTCAGTAGGGACACCCCGTCATTCTTCAACTTTACATTGGGAGCCCGGTGATAAGTCCAGGAGTACTCTGGCCGGGGGTTCCCATTGGAGGAGCACTTCAGCCCAGTACGGGAACCAACATCAACTTCTGTGTCCTTCAGCTCCAGAATATCCTGTGGCGGGACTGGAGGCACGAGAGTCACATGAGCATAATAAGACCAAAATGCAACAAGCACTGATATAGAAAATACAAATATAGACAGAAGACCTGGGTTCAAATAGTTTTTTTTACATTTTCATGAAAAGACTTTGCATATTTGCTTGGGCCTGTCTGGATTGCTACGTGGGTGGGTTTTGCACTTTTGGGACTATTGCATTGATTCCATTGCACAGATAAGTTCAATGAAGCACCGCTAAATCAATTGAAAGATTTTAAATACTCTTTATATTGTACCAGATTACCTCAGGTACAGGATAACCCTTAACAGTGCAGCTCAGGTTATGGGTTATGTACTCATAATTCTCATAGTACTCATAATATTACTGCCGTAATATCTCAATAAGTATAGTAACAGTATAAGGGAAAAAATGACAGAGACCTTTCAGCGGGCCGTTAAATTAACAGCACAATGAAGCCAATTGGAAAGGTAGGAGAGACAAAACACATGCAAATTGATGTTGTGATCGTTTTGAATTTTTGATTTGTTGGACACCATTAGTCCGTGTCTGGCTACCCAAACTCCTTGCTCCGGCCATCACTAGCACATTAGAAGCTGCTTCCTATAGACATAGACTAGAAATCACTGGCCACTTTAAGAAATGGAACACTAGCCACTTTAATAACGTTTACATATCTTGTATTACTCACAGTACAGTTGAAGTCGGAAGTTTACATAGACTTAGATTGGAGTCATTAAAACTAGTTTTTCAACCACTCCACAAATTTCTTGTTAAAAAACTATCGTTTTGGCAAGTCGGTTAGGACAACTACTTTGTGCATGACACAAGTAATTTTTCCAACAATTGTTTACAGACAGATTATTTCACTTATAATTCACTGTATCACAATTCCAGTGGGTCAGAAGTTTACATACACTAAGTTGACTGTGCCTTTAAACAGCTTGGAAAATTCCAGAAAATGATGTGTTGGCTTTAGAAGCTTCTGATAGGCTAATTTACATCATTTGAGTCAATTTGAGGTGTACCTGTGGATGTATTTCAAGGCCTACCTTCAAACTCAGTGCCTCTTTGCTTGACATCATGGGAAAATCAAAAGAAATCAGCCAAGAGGAATGGGCCAAAATTCACCCAACTTATTGTGGGAAGCTTGTGGAAGGCTACCCGAAACGTTGGACCCAAGTTAAAACAACAGTTTAAATGTATTTGGCTAAGGTGTATGTAAACTTCCGACTTCAACTGTATGTACTGTATTCTATACTATTCTACTGTATCTTAGTCCATGCCACTCTGACATCGCTCGTCCATATATGTACACTACCAGTCAAAAGTTTGGACACACCTACTCATTCAAGGCTTTTTCTTTATTTTTACTATTTTTTACATTGTAGAATAATAGTGAAGACATCAAAACTATGAAATAACACATATGGAATCATGTAGTAAACAAATGTTTTTTAAACAGATTCTTCAATAGACACCCTTTGCCTTGATGACAGCTTTACACACTCTTGGCATTCTTTCAACCAGCTTCATGAGGTAGTCACCTGGAATGCATTTCAATTAACAGGTGTGCCTTCTTAAAAGTTAATTTGTGGAAATTTTTTCCTTCTTAATGCGTTTGAGCCAATCAGTTGTGCTGTGATAAGGTAGGGGGGTATACAGAAGATAGCCCTATTTGGTAAAATACCAAGTCCATATTATGGCAAGAACAGCTCAAATAAGCGAAGAGAAACGACAGTCCATCATTACTTTAAGACATGAAGGTCAGTCAATACGGGAAACATTTTTTTCTTAAAGTGCAGTCACATAAACCATCAAGAGCTATGATGAAACTGGCTCTCATGAGGACCGCCACAGGAATGGAAGACCCAGAGTTACCTCTGCTGCAGAGGATAAGTTCATTAGAGTTACCAGCCTCAGAAATTGCAGCCCAAATAAATGCTTCACAGAGTTCAAGTAACAGACACATCTCAACATCAACTGTTCAGAGGGGACTGTGTGAATCAGGCCTTCATGGTCGAATTGCTACAAAGAAACCACTACTAAAGGACACCAATAAGAAGAAGAGACCTGCTTGGGCCAAGAAACACGAGCAATGGACATTAGACCAGTGGAAATGTGTCCTTTGGTCTGGAGTCCAAATTGGAGATTTTTGGTTCAAACCGCTGTGTCTTCGTGAGACGCGGTGTGGGTAAACGGATGATCTCCGCATGTGTAGTTCCCACCGTAAAGCATGGAGGAGGAGGTGTTATGGTGTGGGGATGCTTTGCTGGTAACACGGTCTGTGATTTATTTAAAATTCAAGGCACACTTAACCAGCATGGCTACCACCACATTTTGCAGCGATACGCCATCCCATCTGGTTTGGGCTTAGTGGGACTATCATTTGTTTTTCAACAGGACAATAACCCAACACACCTCCAGGCATTGCAAGGGCTATTTTACCAAGAAGAAGAGTGATGGAGTGCTGCATCAGACAACCTGGCCTCCACAATCCTACGACCTCAATCCAATTGAGATGGTTTGGGAAGAGTCGGATGGCAGAGTGAAGGAAAAGCAGCCAATGAGTGCTCAGTATATGTGTGAACTCCTTCAAGACTGTTGGAAAGCATTCCAGGTAAAGCTGGTTGAGAGAATGCCAAGAGTGTGCAAAGCTGTCATCAAGGCAAAGGGTGGCTAATTGAAGTATATAAAATATATTTTGATTTGTTTAACACTTGTTTGGTTACTACATGATTCCATATGTGTTATTTCATAGTTTTGATGTCTTCACTATTATTCTACAATGTAGAAAATAGTAAAAAATCAAAGAAAAACCCTTGAATAAGTAGGTGTGTCCAAACTGACTGGTACTGTATATATTCTTAATTAATTCCTTACTTAGATTTGTGTGTATCGGGTATATGTTGAGAAATTGTTAGATATTACTTGTTAGATATTACTGCACTGTCGGAGCTAGAAGCAGAAGCATTTCGCTACACCCGCAATAACATCTGCTAAACACACGTATGTGACCAATAACATTTGATTTGATTTGAAATGATACACTACGCTACGCCCACAGACGTTAGTTTCTTCTCCGCAATGAGTCTGGATCTGAGTACCTGATTGGTTAGAGATGATCCAAACGCTGATTACTTTGTGTTGTAGAACACCACTCATTTTGACGTCACCACAAACAACTTCAACGATGGCAGTTTTAGATTGAGGTTTGTAACAAACATAGAGCAGTGTAAGAATTCAGTTTGAGTTGTCAGGCAATATGGCGCAGACCAAAATAATGGCTGCCTTCCCCTTTAAGATGAGCCACCGCAAGCTGTCATCCAGGCAGAACTACAGTTCCCCTCAGTCAGCAGTCCCCACATCCTGCCGCTAGTGGCAATGGGTGCAGCAACCAAGGATTTGACCACTGTTTTGGCAGATGACAGTTCATGCCAGTGATACAGACTACAGGCACTGCAGACTGACCTTAACGTCAAACAATAGGGTCAATGACATCACTTTAGGATCGTTTGAAGAATGTGAAATGAAAAAGTCCCTTAGCCCTTTAAAAGGTCCTTTTAGTGCAGGGCTGTTCAATTCCGGTCCTGGAGGCCAGAAACACTTCTGTTTTTTTGTTTCTACCTGGTAGTTAATTGCTCTTACCTGGTGTCCTAGGTCTGAATTAGTCCATTGTTAGAAGGAGAGGATGAAAACCAGAAGTGTTTCAGCATTCCAGGACCAACATTGAACAGCCCCAAAAAGAAAACAAAAAGACTTACAGTAAACAGGAAAATGAAGATGCTGTGATGACATGACAGAAGGTTGTGGTCCCTCTGGTCCCAGGACCAGCTCTGCCTCACATCTGTACTCTACTTCATCTTCAAATCTCCTGGGGGTGATGTTGAGGGTGGAGGACACATCCTCTGGTTCCCTCGTGGATGTATTAAATGTTTGAGTTTTTACAGTTTCATTCCCTTTGTACCACCTCACAACCAGGTTCCGTAGAGGAGCGACATTCTGTATGTCACACTGCAGCTGGTACTCTGTCCCCTCCACCATGGGACCAGAGTGGCTCAGAACAGAGATGGAGATTCTGTCTGGAATCTCTAGAGACAAAATAGTTACATATAGTGAGAAAAACTAATTGTTTTCACTGACAAAACTCACTACAAGACGCAAATGAAAAACAACTTACTGTATAGAATGACAGGGAAATTTTCCAAACACTGACTTCCATTTTTTAGTGCGATGTAGCATTTAGGTTGTATTGTCCAGTATGTTAGATTCTCCACAGTCCAGATGACAAAGTTGACATCTTCTAAACCTGTACCTCCGTATGTGGCCTCCCAGCCCATCCCCTCGTGGTCTGTGGATGATGTGCTGCAGTTGACTGCGACTGAGTCTCCATATCTCACCACCACTCTGGGAGGGTTGAACTCAAAAGGACAGGCGGCATGTGTAGGCCTGCCTACAGGTCAGACCACATGACAGAGACCATAATCAGCTAAATTGCATTCTCAAGCAGACAAATCCATAATAAATACAAATACTGTAGCTTTAAACAAAAAGGATCCTAAGCATAGGCCTAGGATGCAGAATGGTAAACTACCAAGAGGTTAAAATTAGTTGCCTTTTTCAGAAGGCAGTTGCTAATCAGTAATTGAAATATAGGAGCATAAAGTTTAAAAAGTAATGTATTGGACAAAGACATACCCATTAAGACAAAGAACTTAAAGAATTATCATTTTGTGTCATATGTCAAATCATCTTCACTGCGAGCAGACAGATTTTATTCGCTACTACATTGCCCTCTCCTGGTTATTCCAAAAAGGGTTATTGGTCTATCTCTCTAGCCACTATGAAATATGATACAGTTATTGTGGATTTTAACGCGAACCAAGGCGGATACTGTTCTTATCCCTCTATCAGGAATGTAAAATACTTTAGCGTTATCTGTGTTCCTATTCTGCTTGAAATTCTTAAATCTTTTAATACTGGTATAACAAAACTAACTTTACCTGCCATCCAGAGGAGTAGGACGGGAAACCCAAGAAAAATCCGACGAAATATTATTTCACACATTTGATATTAAACTAATGTTTTATTCTCAGAAAGACGTTGAAAAATGTAGGTATTCCTTGCGGTCAGTGTCAGTGATGTCCAAGCGTCCAGTCCCCACATGCACACAGTCCAACTCTTCAACAGGCGCAGTCGTGAGTGGTCCTACAATATATTTTGGCTCTGTATTGAATTACAAGAATAAGACTGTGAAATAGTGAGAAGTCACGTGCTCTTTACTGGAAGACCCCTTCAATTGATTCAGTCATCAAGCGCAAAATACCTTTCGATGTCGACTTTGGGAATTTCCCAAACCCCTCGTGCTTGCATAATACGGAGTTTACTATCGCTAGGACATAATAAGAACACCAAAGCCTGCCTATACCAAGTGGGCTAAGTGTTCTTTTCAACTCGTTTTATATCACATTGTTCGGCCTCTACATAGCCTACAATCCATTGAAAATGTCCTCTGTTCTGCAAATATTACATTGTTTACAATGATCAGTATTCAATTAATGCATAGGCCTAATAACAATGTAATTGACACCTAACCAGTGCTTAATATGAGACGGATCGGACTTCTCAGTTTTGGACTGTTTCTTTCCGGAAAGCCATTTTCCAGGACTGGTACCTCTCTCGGCACTGTTTGCATTGTAAAAAATTATAATAAAAGCAATCAGAGTTAATTCAAGTTGCCTCTGTAATTCGCCTATCCTCTAAAAAACGTAATGTGAAAACGTGGCTGATATTCTATAGTAAGTATTGATTAGAGTTGGCCGGCCCGGCTTTATGGTTTGCGCAACATTGTAATGCTTACAGACCAACGGGTGGCCATTGCTGTGGTGAGAGAGTGAAGCGCGCCTGTATCTCTCACAGAACTAGAATGACATTCACTTTCTATGATCTCTCTCGCTCTGATTGTGATGAGGTGTGAATGACGGAGTCAGGCGCAGGAGGTAAAACACCGAAATCAAGAGTTTATTAACATTTACATTTTAGTCATTTAGCAGAAGCTCTTATCCAGAGCAACTTACAGTTAGTGAGTGCATACATGTTTTCATACTGGCCCCCGTGGGAAACGAACCCACAACCCTGGGGTTGCAAGCGCCATGCTCTACCAACTGAGCTACAGTGTACATGAATAAAGCGCAGCAAGCGTCAAAACGAAACTAGCACAAGGGAAAAATCCACCTTGGCTACATACAAGGAAACCGAGCTACTCACTCTCACAATGAAAAATCACTCACAAAGGACAAAGGGGCAGAGGGAACACTTATACACAGACTAATGAGGGAATGAGTACCAGGTGTGTGTGATTGACAAGACAAGACAAAACAAATGGAGTGATGATAAATGGAGCGGTAGTGGCTAGTAAGCCGGTGACGACGAACGCCGAAACCTGCCCGAGCAAGGAGGAGGGGCAGCCTCGGCTGAATTCGTGACAGTACCCCCCCCCCCCCCCCCCCCCCCTTGACGCGCAGCTCCAGCAGCGCGCTGACACCGGTCTCGGGGACGGCCAGGAAGACGCGGAGCAGGGCGAGTCGGATGGCGACGATGGAAGTCCCTCAACAGAGAGGGATCGAGGATATCCCTCACCGGGACCCAGCACCGTTCCTCCGGACTGTACCCTTCCCACTGCACGAGATACTGAAGGCCCCCCACCCGGCGCCTCGAATCCAGTATGGAACGGACAGAGTACGCCGGCGCCCCCTCGATGTCCAAAGGAGGTGGAGGGACCTCCTGCGCCAGACTCCTGGAGCGGACCAGCCACCACCGGCCTGAGGAGAGACACATGAAACGAGGGGTTAATACGGTAATCAGGGGGGAGTAATAACCTATATGTGACCTCGTTGATTCTCCTCAGGACTTTGAATGGCCCTACAAACCGCAGGCTCAGCTTCCGGCAGGGCAGGCGGAGGGGCAGATTCCGGGTCGAGAGCCAGACCCCATCCCCCGGTACAAAGACGGGGGCCTCACTGCGGTGACGGTCAGCGTTGGCCTTCTGACGACGCACAGCGCGTTGGAGGTGAACATGGGCAGTGTTCCACGTCTCCTCCGTGTGCCAAAACCAGTCATCCACCGCAGGAGCTTCGGTCTGGCTCTGGTGCCACGGTGCCAGAACCGGTTGATAACCTAAAACACACTGAAATGGCGTTAGGTTTGTAGAGGAGTGGCGGAGAGAGTTCTGGGCATATTCTGCCCATGGCAGGAACACCGACCACTCCCCCGGCCGATCCTGGCAATAGGACCTCAGGAACCTACCCACATCCTGATTTACCCGTTCCACCTGCCCATTACTCTCAGGGTGGAACCCAGAGGTCAGGCTGACCGAGACTCCCAGACGTTCCATGAACGCCTTCCAGACTTTTGACGTGAACTGGGGACCTCGGTCAGACACTATATCCTCTGGTACCCCGTAGTGCCGGAAGACGTGTGTAACCAGGGCCTCCGCAATTTGCAGAGCCGTGGGGAGACCGGGCAGAGGAAGGAGGCGGCAGGCCTTCGAAAAGCGGTCCACAACGACCAGGATGGTGGTGTTCCCTTGAGAGAGAGGCAGATCAGTTAAAAAATCAACACTCAAATGAGACCATGGTCGTTGTGGAACTTGTAAAGGTTTTAACTTACTCACTGGGTGGTGCCTAGGTGCCTTACTCTGGGCGCACACTGAGCAGGAGGGAACATACACCCTCACGTCCTTAGCCAAGGTAGGCCACCAGTACTTTTCGGTCAGGCAGCACACTGTACGACCGATACCTGGGTGACCAGCGGAGGGTGACGTGTGTGTCCAGTAGATCAGACGATCACGGATAAGCACAGGCACGTACTGCAGCCCAGCTGGACACTGCGGTGGAGATGGATCTGTGCGTAATGCCTGTGCTATATCCGCTTCCATCGCCCATACTACCGGCGCCACAATGCATGAGTCTGACAGTATGGGGGTATTGTCTATGGGCCTCACCTCTGTATCATACAGCCGGGACAGTGCATCTGCCTTCACGTTCTTCATACCCGGAATATGACAGTATGAAATCAAACCGGGTGAAGAATAGGGCCCACCTGGCCTGGCAAGGGTTCAGCCTCCTCGCTGCCCGGATGTACTCCAGGTTACGGTGGTCCGTCCAGATGAGAAATGGGTGTTTCGCCCCCTCGAGCCAATGTCTCCACACGGTCAGAGCTCGGACAACAGCCAACAGCTCCCGATCATCAACGCCGTAGTTCTGCTCCACCGGGCTGAGCTTCTTTGAGAAGAACGCACAGGGGCGGAGCTTGGGTGGCGTGCCCGAGCATTGAGACAGGACTGCTCCCATCCCAACCTCGGACGCATCCACCTCCACTACGAACGGTAGTGATGGATCGGGGTGGGTCAGTACCGGGGCCGAGGTGAACAGTTCCCTTAGGTTACTGAAGGCCCTGTCAGCCTCAGCAGACCAGCGGAGCCGGGACGGCCTACCCTTCAACAGAGATGTAATGGGAGCTGTGACCTTGCCAAAGCCCCGGATAAACCTCCGATAATAGTTGGCGAAGCCAAGGAAGCGCTGCACCTCCTTTACTGTGGTTGGAGTCGGCCAATTACGCACGGCTGCAATGCGGTCGCCCTCCATCTCCACACCTGTGGTAGAAATGCGGTATCTGAGGAAGGAGACAGACTCTTGGAAAAACATACACTTTTCTGCCTTAGCATAAAGGTCATTTTCCAACAGTCGGGCCAGTACTTTGCGAACCAGGGACACATGCTCGGCGTGAGTAGCGGAATACACCAAGACGTCATCGATGTAGACCACTACACCGCGACCAAGCATGTCCCGAAACACCTCGTTCACAAAGGACTGGAAGACTGAGGGAGCATTCATCAAACCATAGGGCATCACCAGGTATTCATAATGCCCCGTGGTTGTGCTGAATGCTGTCTTCCACTCATCTCCCTCTCGGATACGCACCAGGTTGTACGCACTCCTGAGATCTAATTTAGTGAAGAAGCGCGCTCCATGCAATGACTCAACCACTGACGGAATGAGGGGGAGAGGATAACTAATCTAATCGTCTCCTTGTTCAGTGGTCGATAGTCAATGCACGGGCGCAGACCGCCGTCTTTCTTCTTCACAATAAAGAAACTTGAGGAGGCGGGTGAAGTGGAAGGACGTATGTACCCCTGGCGCAGGGACTCGGTGACGTATGTCTCCATAGCCTCCGTCTCCTGGGAGGTACAGCGTCTACCCAAAGGTTTATTGCGCAATCCCCCGCCCGATGAGGTGGCAATTTAGTTGCTTTATTCTTGGAGAAAACTTGTGCCAGATCATGGTATTCAGGGGGAATGCGCACGGTGGAGGCACCGTCTGGACTTTCCACCGTGGTTGCACCAACGGAAACACCCAGACACCTACCCTGACACTCTTGCGACCACCCCGTGAGAACCCTCTGCGGCCATGAGAAAGTGGGGTTGTGGAGTGCTAGCCACGGAATACCTAACACCACAGGGAAAGCAGGAGACTCAATGATGGAAAAAGTGACCTGCTCACAATTCGTCTCCTGTGTGATCATGGTGACTGGTACCGTGACTTCCTTTATCAACCTGGACCCTAATGGTCGACTCTCAAGTGCTCTGATGGGGCGTGGAATGGATAGGGGAACTAATGAAATGCCCTGGCGGCGTGCGAAAGT